ACTATGTGATGGCTATAGTATTGCTGTTGATGGCTAAATGGATAACTTGCGCTGTAAACTGATGGGCAAATCATTACCAGTGCTGAGTATACATATTGCCTTAATCGTTCTGAATGTTCTAAAAATGGTTTGACTTGAAAACGACTTGCATATGTTATGTCTCAATTCTTTAACAGTGATTGTGTTCTCGTTTGGCGTTATATATATATATATATATATATATATATATATATATATATATATATATATATATATATATATATATATATATATATATATATATATATATATATATCGGGTATGTGTCTCGGAAATCGGACTACAGACTGGTTGGAAGAAAACCATGGGGTGAAAGAAAGAGATGAAACGGTAAACTTTGGCGAAAAGAAGTTCTAGGCGGCGGGATTCGAACCCGCGTACCCACGATCAGAAGGATAGCGTCTTCACTATTCGGCTGTCTTTTTTTTTCTTCTTTGTTTCCGGTTGTACGCAGCACACACACGCACACACACGGAGACAAGATAATTCTGTTACAACGCAGACTATGCAGGCCCGCCGACAGGGCATAGCGTAGCCTTGTAGAATATCGTAAAGCAAGATAAAGTGAGGGTGAGTATTAGGAAGAGGAGGAGGGGAGGTATAGAATAGCATGTAAAGAATAAGAAATATAGAAAAAGAAGTTGAGAAACAGAAAGAGAGACAATAAAAAGAAAGAAAAAGCGTCAGAGAAAAAAAGATAGGAGCAAACAAGACATCGAGAGAGTGACATAAAAAAAATTGAAGGAACCTTAAGTTTCGCCTTTATGAGTTGATTACGATAGCGATATTCAGTGCCTATAGTGCTTGCTTCAAGCACATGGTGCATGAAATCTTTTCGAACTTGTTATGCACCCACTATGTGGCCTTAACGGAATATGATCAGTAACGTGTGTGCTTTCGTAGTGAATGACCGGCTTTAAACCATCAAGTAATTGTGATAATCGCATGTTCTGACGCCCGATGGCAATGTGCGCTTGTGTCATGCATTATTGCTGCAATATTTCATGTTGCATTGTGAAGCATGTACGCAGGACGCGTTTCTTTGTGAAGCAGGGAAGTTACGTTCACTGCATATCCATGCAGTGGAAGTTATTTTCACTGTATTCACAAGCAGACGCATAGCTGTGGGGTAGAACATCCGCTTGCCACGTAAACGACCCGGGTTCGATGCCCTCTCGGACCGAGTAGTTTTTAGGGGTGAAGCTCCTTATGGCGTGGGTCTGTCCATCCCTTGTATGTATGTATGTATGTATGTATGTGTGTATGTGTGTGTGTATGTGTGTGTGTATGTGTGTGTGTATGTGTGTGTGTATGTGTGTGTGTATGTGTGTGTGTATGTGTGTGTGTATGTGTGTGTGTGTGTGTGTATGTGTGTGTATGTGTGTGTGTATGTGTGTGTGTATGTGTGTGTGTGTATGTGTGTGTGTATGTGTGTGTGTATGTGTGTGTGTGTATGTATGTGTGTGTGTATGTGTGTGTGTGTATGTGTGTGTGTGTGTGTGTGTGTGTGTATGCGTGTGTGTATGCGTGTATGTGTGTATGCGTGTATGCATGCATGTATGCATGTATGCGTGTATGCATGCATGCATGCATGTATGCGTGTATGCGTGTATGCATGTATGCGCATGCATGTATGCGTGTATGCGTGTATGTAGCCACCGGTGGCACATACCCGCTCTAAAGCAGGTATGTGCCGCCGGGGTTGCGAAATGGGAGATGGCGGTACTTGGAGTGTTCACTAGGTGGACGCACGGATGGATGGACAGACATACTATCAGAAAGATGGAAGTATTGATGGACGCGCAAGCGTACGGACGGATGCCCGCACGAACGGACGGATGGACGGGCGGACAGACGGATGGACGCACGGATTGCCGCACGGATGGTCGCGCAGACGGACGGACTGAGAAAGAACGAACGGATGGGCTGACGGACGCTTCGCCGCACTCATTATTATCACTCCGTGGATGTGCAGTGATTTTTTGTTATTTATTTCATTTGCACTTTTCCCGATGTTTCGGTCATGCACAATGCGATGTTTTCTTCGCTGACAACCAACGATGCCGACACCAACGCCGGAGTTCCCGCGAAAGGAGCTCTTTGACGCTGTCGCGTTAACAAGGAAATAAAGTCAAGAAAATAGAGAGAAATGAATAGAAGTAAATAGATACGAAAAAAAAAGTGTGTGAAGTTTGCGCTAACTACCACAAAGCTTGGCACAGCGAATATGGCCGACACTTACGCAAACCTTAAAAACGACATACGATAGCAAAAAGTGCTTAAAACGCTGCAAAGTGTATACTCACAACGTAGCAAAACATAACAAGAAACAGTTACAACAGAGCAGCAACTGCCGTTAGCCTAAAGACTTGAGGTTCGTCCAAAGTCACTGTGTGAAGCTTTCCGTGGCTTAGTGCAAATTCCGCGGATTTTGTGATCGTCACGATAGTAAGTAATTTAGGGCTTTGAGGCGCGAAGCTCAACTATAGCCAAGGAGCTTCTGTGGGCTAGTGTTAATAGTCGGCAGTGCAGAGATGAAACTACGAGAACTGGATGGGGTTTACCGTCAAAAGCGCCCGAAATGTGTCCCTGTAAAACAAATCCCAAACTACTGCTATTCGCAGGCAAACTCTGATTCACTCGATTATATCAGTAAGCCTTCGCACGAAGTCTGGATGCATGTGTGCTATGCAAAGTAAGCATATATGTCGCAGCAGCACCCTCACAGTGCCGCTGCGACAAAAGCGTGTTACGTGTCAGTTCCAATAATGACGTCTTACACAACATCACTGAACCGGTTCAACGCAGTTTAAGTATCGCATGATGTTCTGCAACAGTAGAAATGCTGGTTAATCGGCGCCAGTGTCGTATGACATTGTGCAGAGAGCGCCCCCAACTTGTTTATGTGTACGTACGCACGTATACAGTCGCGCTCAGTATTAGTCGCAACACGCTGTCTGGGCTTAAAATGGCACCAACACTGCAAATCGGCACCTAGATAGAAACAAACTGGTGAATCAAACGCTCTCAGTTAGCGGTATAGTTTCTGAACCAACTTAATGTTAGTCGGCGTTATTGTTCAGGCTTGGGGTCACTTTAACCACAGCTATAGGCGTGTTTCAACTCATACTGAGCGCGACTGTAAGTTCGTGCGTACATATGTACATGTGCATTTATGTATGTATGTACAAAGCAAATAAGTAGCGAGACACGCGAAAATCATTAGGACACGTTTCGGGCACAAATATGTGGCCTCGTGCTCCACAGCAGAAGTCCACGCACCAGTGCGTCCCGACCTCGACGAGCGACTCTCCGAGCTTTACGCGGCAGTTCAGTTGTGGTCTATATGGGCAGTTTCGCGTACCCTCTAACGCCTCAACATGTGCTTGCGAACTTCAGAGTGCTTCGTTATACAGGTCACTGCGATGTAACGCTCGATGTAGTCGTGACGTAAGTAATCATTCGTTACACAGCTAATTTCGTTGTAGATGGGCCTTACAGTACCCTGGTAAAGGGACAATGCTGTCGGTGTTCTTTCATCAATATTTCTCACGAGTTCCACTTCAGAGCGAAACTTGTGGTAGACGATAGCGGCGTGGCCGAGGTTATGCGAAGCCTGTCGGAGAAAAAAAAAAGGTTCCTGCACCAAAAGTAGGCGTTTTGAACAACCCTTCAGGGTCAAGCAATGACTCGGAGATTTCCGCTGTGATGTATGTTTTACAGTCACCCGTCGCTGCCTAGCGAGATAATAATACATAATGATATGTTTAGATAATGACGCGTACAATCACGCGCACTCACGCATTCATGCACGTGCGCACCCACGCACTCACAATCGAAGATACGAAAATTACATAATGCAGTTGCAGATGCAGAATTACGAGTGGTTAGTCTTTTTTTTTTTTTACGTTCGGCAAATATTTTAAGACGTCAATGTTATTTTTTTTTTGTAGCTGCGTCGTTGGCAATGATCTTCCCTCAGTTAAAGATCGACAGTCTAACAACAATCAATGGACATTTAGTTTACACCCCACCGCTTCCAGTCGCGAGCACACGACTAACGAAGTGTGCTTCTCATCACCTAAATAAGTGGTAGGGAAATATTTTGATCTATGGTTGACGCCTTGCGAACTGACAACGTACAAGCGTTTTCTTCGATACGAGACGCGGTCACCATATCGGGTCTCAACTTTTCGCCAGACCTATCGTCGCGCTGTTTCTCCCATCAGAGTTCGTGTGTCACTCAAAGCTCCCGCTTCCGAGTGACCTCTGGAAGCTTGTTGCGCATTCCACCACCAGAGGGAAGCACGATTCAACGACGCTCCTGGCGCCATCCTTTGAATAATGGCGAAACCAAGAGCGCCAACTTCCGGCTTGAGACGCAGAGGAGAGGCGCGGGGAAGAGCGGGAGAGCATTGGGAAATACTCGGAGGGAGGAGAGGGAGTCGCTTCTCCCGAAACGAGAGAAAAACGCCAGCAACGAGGGCGCGCGCTAACGACGAACGCCAACACACCTGGGGATTCGCTCGCAGGATTTCAAGCTGGACGGTTGTGCCCTCGCGATCTCCGACTTCAGCGTAGCTCCCGCCGACTGGTTCGCCCTCCGCGGTCTCCTGACGCCGTGTAGCTCTCGCATTGTGGCACCCCGCCCTTGGACTGCTTCGACCGGATCCCCACTTTCCTATCTCCTTCTTTTTTCCTCTCGTTGGCTGTCTTCTTCTGCTTCTACTTTCCTTCTATTCTTTTATCCCTCCTTCCCCCCACCCCTATAAGGCACTGCGCCGTGTCGCCTGAAGGCAGACAGAAATTAGGTGCCTTTTTCCTCTTCATTGTAACCACTACCACCACCACACACCTGGGCGTTGCGATCGCTCGCGCGCATGGCGTCGTGGGCGTGCACTCGGCGGCGCGCCCTTGAGTGAGGTATACGGACACGGTCGTCTCTGCTTTTCCGCCTCCAGGTGTCGACGGCCGAGCCCACTCCGGGAACGTCGCAGTCCCAGCTGACCGTCAATGCGACCGCCGCGAGCGCATCGTACGTGTGCCGGGCGAGCAACGTCGTTGGGGAGAACCGCACCGAAGTGAGCGACGCCAGGGAGTTCGTCGTACAGGTCGAAGGATTCCAGCCAGGTGAGTCGATGTGCGCCGTGTATCGCGGGTGAAATAGGCAAAGCTCACAGCGACAACGGGCGAGAACGAAACAGACGTGTTTTTGTTCGTTCCCGCGGTCGTTGGATACATTTCAGCGTTACCTTTTTTATCCGTGATGTTTCAACTGTGTCCTTACATAAGCTATTCTATCATGCCTGTGCTTTTTTTCCGTGTTTGCGCACAACTCTCTGTGCATACTTTGTGCTCACACCGTCTCAATTATTGTATGTACCTGCTGTGTGCCAGAATTAGCTCGGTAATGTAAACGAGGAAACGTTTGGTTTCGGGGGTTTCTATCACCAATGCGGTGTCGTGCATCCTAGCTCGCATTGTACCGACTGTTAGCACTGAGAGTTTCAGTTTCACGTGGGCTTAGATTTCGTACTCGGCCCGAATAACGGTGTACGTGTTGTTACTCGTGTGACTGGAATATGAAAGCAGCCTCGCCTGTGAAAGCTTTCGAGTGCCTTCGTTCGAAAACGCCCGACTTACACATTCCGATCGTACGGGACTTGCGTGTCGCCAGGCAAGGCGAGTGCTTTAAACTTGGGCTCGCTTCAGTTTCTCGCTATGTGTATAGAGTATGTGGTGCTGTGTAATGATTTGCTGGCTGATTTAGCAGTCGTGCGCTAACTTTACCGGCTGGGAGCTGTTTTTGTTTTTGTTTTTGTCGTGTTGTGGGCTGGGAGAAGTCCGAGAATCGGCGATTTCGAGCATCATTAACCGATCACGAAGCATAAAGATCCGGTGACTCTCTCGCGCGCTTATGGTTCACTTTTTTTTTTTTGTGTGAAACACAGTCTGTTATCAAACATCTGCGAATTGAGAAAACGGCGTGGAAACAACTCTTGCATGGTTAGAACAAAAAGATGTTCCCAGTATAGAATTCCCGTTAATTTCAAATGTTTTGAGTCATGAATAATGACTTCAGCCTTAAAAGCACGTTGTGTTTCGTCGGAAACATGACATATTCTTTATCAATATTTCTTATTAAATCATTTCACCAAAATTCTAGCTTGTTCTTAGGAAATCAGCGGCCTGAGCTTCGGTTCTCATATTGGTCAAGCGAGAGAAACAAGGAAAGGCAGGCCGGTTAACCAGACGGCACGTTCGGCTTGCTACCCTGCATGCACCGCTACCTTATCCTGCTCTGGGCAAAAGAACAAAAGGGCGAAAAGAGAGAAAGAAGAAAGCGATGGATAGAATTAGCGTTAAAGCCATGAGAGTGATTTTTTTAGGCGTACTAGAACACAGCCGTGCGTGCTTAATTAGTTAACGAGTAGTCGCAGAAGGAGTTGTGAGGTACACTGACCTTTATCGCCGCACCTGTCTGCTATGGGATCATTTTCTTTTATTCGGGGTAATTATTTATTGATCATTTTAACGTTCCGTATAGATTATTGCTTGCACAGGTAGATGATCTTGCGCCTTAATTACACGTTGACAAGAACATATCTTTTTCTCGCTCCGTTTGTCTCTCTTTTTTCCTTTTTTTTTTTTTGTGCTGCTTTGTGTCAAGATTATGTACGAGCAGGCCTAACTCTCCACTTTACTCCGGTTTATATTGTTTGAATAGTAGTTTACCATCATTATCAAACACATTCGTCAAACATCGTTCCCCCGATACCTATTTTTAAATCTTCGTACTCTTCTGAGCTCTTTTTTTTTTTCCTCGGAAATTTTGGAATCTTCATCACCTATTCCCATAGACCCAATCAAATGAGCACTAGATATGTACAGCCGTCGGCACCTTTGACACGAACACTTCGATGCTTGGCCGGGGCGAGTTTGATTGATGCCAGCCGCGAAGTGCTGGGCGCTTTTGCCGAGATAATACATCAGTAGGCTTGGATAGTATGCCGGCATGTATGGTTAGCATCTTGGCAACACAACCCAAACGTACGTGGTGTCAGCGTCAATCAAACTGCTACAGGACACGCAGAGGAGCGTTCGTGTTAAAAGGTGCGGACGGCTCTACGTCACGTTCTTGTGCACGTGAACAAGGACGTGGGAAAAGCCTGTCATGGAATCCCATTTTAATATCGATGATTTTGCCTCTGCATTAAAATAAGATGGAATTGCAAAGGTCAAGTGTCCCCTGATAATCGCTAGACATGCGTGAACACGCTGATGCCCATGGCTTATTTTCGCCTGCGGTACTCCTGTCGCCATCTGCCAGGCGTCGAGTGAACCGCGCTCGCAGTGTTTGCGCGGCGCTCTTGAATTCTGCCCGTGTGATCTTGTACAGTGAGGGCTTCAAACTCCTTTGAGCAAGTGCTCCTCCGCAGTCACGAAAATTTAGTCCTGTAGGGGCCAGCACTCCGAAGAAAGCAGGGTGGGTGGGGGGAAGGGGGAGAGTATTTATTACACAATGCCAGCTCACGTTGCGTTTTGAGAGGCATTTTTATATTATCAAAGCAGCGCGAACTACAAGTCTAGGGGGAACTACGAATGCCTACCCGCAACTGGCAGACTTATTAGAGGAACCGTAAAAAAAAAAGACGATTAATAAAGTGACCCACGCGAGAATCTTGTTAACAAGCACCTAGGCAAGAAAAAAATTAATTAATAAATAAACCAAAAGAAAAAAAACAACGATCGGTAAACAGTTTTCACACCCAACTAGCCCAGCTGTCGACCTTGCCGCATATTTCTAATGTTTTGTATGTGGGTCATTTCTGAAGGGATCTTGGCGCCAGGATTCAAACTTCATATTGATACGGAGCTCCAAAATGAATAAAGTTGGGGCGCCTAATCAGAGTATTGTGTCATGGTTATGTATCACAACAAGGTGACCTTGGGGGTTCTCCGTATAGTTTATGAACGTATTTATCAAAGAATGAAAGAAAAAAGAGGGGGGGGGGGGGCAAAGGGAGTTATGCGAGCCGCTCGCTAGCGTGAGATGTTGGTGGGGCGTTTGGATGAAACTCTGTTGTACTATATATCGTGTCTGCGGAGATATCTTAGGTGTGCTCTGCTTCGCATATTATTCTTTTTTCTAGCGAAGCTTCGTGCGAGGGAAGGTTCTCGGTAGCGGCCGTGGCGGCGTCGTTCGTAAAAAAAAAAAAAAAAAAAAAAGAACAGAACGCGGCGTTGACGATCGCGCAAAAAAAAATTGCGGCCCTCGAGGTTCGAATTGAAAGTATTCAAAAATTTACTGGAATTTAAATTATTCGAAATTTCCAAGTATTCGAAACGGGTTGGATAAACGTATATTTGACTGCGTGTAGCCTCTCCTGAAAAGGTGACTTCACTGTAGTTGCTGGCATTGCTGCGAAGCCACACTTTTGACGTTAGACTCTGTACCTCGATTGATTTCAGTTTGTCAGCGTGTTATACAAGCTAATATTCGCTAAATGCAGCAAATTTTTAGAACTTAACATGTTTCACTGATGATAGTTTTCGACATATCACTGTTGAAATCCTGCCACTATCCTAGTTCACTTCCATTTCGAAGCAAAAATATTTACACTCGGACACGCTTAGTTCCGATTGCTAAATATATTGAAGTAATGTACAAGTTTGCTGGGCCATGACAAAGCGATTACCTTTTCTTTAAAATATATGACTTACAATGTCCGAACTATCGATTGAAAATTGTTCGACCGAGCCACAGTGGAAAACGAAGAGGAGAGCCGGACATCATACGTCTGGCTACATCGAAGGGAACAGGACAACTGAACGAGCTGCAGCACCCGTGGCTCGTACGTGCGCCCGTACTTCCTCCCTTTTTTTTCTTATTTTTTTTTTGCAACAGTCACTATTTGCCTCAAGTTGTCTTTGAACCTCCAGTTCTCCGTATCACAAACTAACATATACATTGAACTCGGGGAAAAAAAGTGGGAGTTGATTTGATTATCAGATTATTCGATACGCAACATTGCATTTTCAATGCGAATTTCGGCGCTCAAAATCGCCTTCGTGGCACTGATTCGCGGTTATCGAAGAAACACGTCTTTACGGTAATACGCCACATTTTTTTTTCTTTGTATTTTTACGCAGTTTGTAGTTGGGGATGCGGGATCACATACAATGGCGGCTTATACGATGTAAAACACGGTATAAATATAAATATAAAAACTTGCGCAGCTGCGTGTACCCTGCCCTTCAATGTCGGCCTTCTATTTCAATGTGGTAGCAAGTGTGCGCCCTGGGATGTTGTGCACAGCGGTGACGTCAGACATCCGTTCTCCGCCTTGGACTGCTAGCTTTGTGGAAGAAAAACTTTAGTTTTACCTGGCATCACTCGTGCTACACCAAACGGGCGGGGGCGTGAACGGTGACCCCGCATGACCGACCAGCGGCACTGCGATGAGGGATGATGGGAGAAAGCAGAAAGCACGTGATGGAAAGCGGTAGTTTTTACTCGCTTCGCGCGGCTCCCTCCCAATAAAAACCGCCGGCTCTCCGAAATACATATCGAAAAGGGCTCCTTCCGAGAAAAAGAATGAACAATTTGTGAGAAAGAGCCAACCTTTAAGGGTGAGTCGCGTTGCACTCCACGTCAAGTGTATATCGGCTGGTTTTGTTCGATGTAGCCGTAGAAATTAATAGCTTGATATAAAGGATAATTCGATTTACCTGGTGTCGATATTGTCGAGTTCGACTGTATTCGCCCATTCTTTGCTTCTTACTCCTTTTTTTTTTCCCCACTTTTCACAGCGTCGACCAGCACTGAGGCGACCGCGGAACCGAGCAGCGATTCCTCGGCCATGGTTCAGGCCGAGCAGTCGCGGCCGGACGACGACGCCCCTTCGTCGACGGGTTCGGCGTCGGAGGACGTGCCGCGAGGCTTCTGCTCGCCCTACACGGGCTCCGCCTGCCGGCGCTTCCTGGGCACCGGCCTGGTCTACTACAACATCAGCCAGGACGCGTCGCCCGTGGTGCTCAACGAGCAGCTGACGCAGCAGCTGTGGGACGAGCTCATCTCGTCCCTGCTCGAGCCCTGCCGCTCGGCGGCCGAGGTGATGATCTGCCACTACGCCTTCCCGCAGTGCGAGTGGCGCGCCCGCCTCGCCATCGCCAAGCCTCTCTGCCGGTGAGCGCGTAGGAGGGTGACTCCCTTCGACCCTCACCCAACTGTGTACATATGTAGACGGTCCCCTTGAAGCCTGACCACACGAATCCTTTGCAGCGCGTCAGCGCGCATGTTTTCTTTTCTTTTTTTGACTCTTGCGCGGAGTTTTTTTTTTTTTTTTTTCGTGGAGAGAGAAGGCGCGCAGCTTCGCCTAGCCGTTCTCCCGCTCTCTAGGACGCGGTGCAGCGGATACGTGTGGGCAGGCCTTAAGCCGCTCGACTCGGTAAACCAGACGCTTCTCTCCTGCTTCCGCTTCAGCCACTATCTTTTTTTTATTATCCTCTTCTGTCTTCCCCACCTCCTTCATTCCCCACCCCTCTTGGGAGGGGGGGGGGGGGGTGATTTTAAAAAGAAAAAAAAAGTGAGCCTCGTAACTGTCTCTCAGGGGGAGGACACCTCAACAGTAGCTCATGAGGGATGGGGGTAAAAGAGGGATTCAAAGGTAATAAATAGAGAGAGAGAGAGAGAGGAAGGAGAGTGCGAGGCGCAGGGACAGCGAACCACCGAAGTAAGGAGAAGACAGGAAAGATGGAGACTGTCGCAGGAGTACGAGGACGGGGCACCACTGGCGAGAGCTCTTGTAGGCGACAGGAGGTGGCGTAGGGCGAGTCCAGTAGGCCATGGCTTACGCTGTCGTGGTTGTCGGGGACCGGCGTCGGGAGGTGGCATAGGACCAGCCCTGTTGGTCAGAGCTGCACTGTCGTCGGAGATCGCGAGGGCACAACCGGTCGGCACGGAATGGTTGAAGTGTCCTATACACAGACAGTTATCGAGCACTCTTCCCCCACTTTCCCTCCTGTGCCTTTTTATTCCCGCATATGCTAAGAACTAACTTCTAACTTTTCCCTCTCTCCCTAACCATTTACTCCTCCCTCTTCATTCGATGCCCGCGTTCAGGTGTCAGCACCTCGAGTTACGCAATTAGATTGTTCATTGTTATTCTCGCGCTTGTTTGTGTCTCTTCTCTTTGTCCCGTGAGTTTGTGCACTGTTACCGCCCATAATCGTTATTCTCTCTTTCCTTTCCTCCTCCATCCATCTGTATTTTTTGTGTGTGTTGTCGTTTTTTTTTTCTTTTATTTGTAAGGCCAAGGGGTTCGCGAAATAAGGGACCCTCCCATCTAGAAAGTTCTGAGCTTGCGTGCTCAGAACACTGTTTAGAAAACAAACGCTTCTTTCAAATATTCATTCGAGGCGGAAGCCTAAAATGTATATGTTTCAAGATCGTGTGAGGAACGAAAAAAAAAAAAAACGCCGCCATATGCACTAAGGGAATTATGTTAGAGGAGCTTGCTCGGAGGTGCATGAAGCGTTTCTTGGCGAGAGCATTTTTTGTAGGAAGGCTTGTTAACGAGCTGGCGCATGATGTATACGTCAAAGGCAGCATTGTCGGGCACGTTCTGCGGCCCGCACTGTTTGGAGGGGAGAGCGCGGAGTCCAAGAAAGAAGGAGACAGGTGGGAGAGGGCTGCGAGTACGTGAGCGCGCGAGCGGCGCGTCTACCTGGTCCACCGTCTTTGCGCTGTTTGAGCTGCACGGCGATTCGGTAGAGCCGTGAAGATATGAGAGACTCGCGCTCCACACCAGTCCTGCAAGGATGGCCCTATCAAGCATGCACTGTTTAGACGGTGGTAGACGCGCATGTCGCGTTGGCTTTTGGGTGGGGACCGGGTTTAGTTTGGCTGCTTCTACTCGCCACACCGCAGGTTCCTGCACTGTTGTCGCATTTCGGGAACTTCATTGCACGGTGCCTGTATGTGCTGTCACATTGCTCCCCTATTTAAACGCGGCCATCGTGGCCAGGAATGAAACCTGCACTTGAAAGTATTTGTATTCGTAGTTATTTGCAATAGATGCCTGAAAAGCTTGTTTTTCCGCAATAATAGGCATGCTGCGGAGAAGACCGCTTTTGTGAGCGCGATCATGTAATTTTCATGGTTAACACGCAGGCCTTGAGCATCGCTGTAAAAAAAAAAAAAGCATGCTAAGTGCATTTAAGCATTCGGTTTTGATTTCGAGCTTTATTTATTTCGACTAAGAGCCATTTTCTTCCAAGTGCGTCAGTATGCCAGTGGGCTCACCCCTAAACGTGATCAAGACAGTGATGTGTTGTACTATGTACAAACTGCTCGTTTAGTTGGTGATTAATGTAGGGGATTAAGTTGAGAGGATTCTAATCCTCTAGTCAGCACTTAGTGGAGGTGAGAGAGACACTGCATACACCTTGTTGGTTGGTTGTAGGGATGAATGCTATGAGCACCCCTTTTTACAGGAACAGTTAGCATTGATTGGTGATGATTACACAGTGCTCTTTATAATTAATGTAATGGCTGGACAGCAAATAATAAACAGGGATCTCATAATTATTAACTACACTTAAAGTGCAGCGTAGGTTTTGGAAGTGAGTTCAACTGCTGTAAGGGGTGTGAATGTGAAGTCCAGAGACAGCAGCCCGATGATGATCGCCAATTTCCCAAACTCTCTTGAATACAAGTTGAATCCTATGTAATGGCGCGCTATGGCACAATGTAAGAAAGTAACTTAATGCCGTTTTTGATGTTGCCATTTAAACTTATCGTAAAGTGCAAACAGACTGCAGATCCTCGCTTTACTTGGCCGTGCCACTGACAACCATACTACTCACTTGCAGGGAAGACTGCGTCGCCGTGCGCGAGCTATTCTGCTACAACGAGTGGGCCATGATAGAGGACAACAAGCAGCGGGGCATATTCTTCAAGTCCCGCGGCCACTTTCGATTGCCCGACTGCGACTTGCTTCCGAGTTACAAGGACAACGGCCAGTGCTCACATGCCCATCTTACGGACTTCAAGGAAGACGAGGTCACTGGTACGCTATAAATGTCACTCTACTGCAAATAGTTTTAAACGAAACACTGTTGGTATACATTGGTTTTACTGTTGTCTAATACGGAAAGGTTTTAAGGAGAGTATGTAAAAAAACAGAGGGTGAATACGTTTTTCTCCTTCAATAGTTGAGTACAATATGTGTGATGCAACCTTTGTACTATAATATGTACCATTTTTGTGGACTTATCAGTACAGCTGTTAACATATAGCTCTTCTTTTAACGTTCTCTGACAAGCCCTAACATTGTCTTTGTCTGGGTGCTCATTCAATTCTCGTGGCATGTCTACATACTAAACTTTTGCACATCTCGTCTGTGTTAATTTATTTTATATCAGTTTTTTTCGTGCCTGCTTGTTGGTTTCTGGTGTTAGCAGTAGGGAAGTGAATGTGCGCCGCTGATGTACCATATTTACTCATGTAATCCTCGCACTCGCATAATTCTCGCACGCCCCACATCGCCAAACAAAAATACGATTCCTTTTTTTTCCTCGAGTAATTATCGCACCCCCGAAAACAGCCGCAATAGTGTCGTCTGCTCGTTCCAGCCACTGATGATGATAGCGCGTGTCATCTGGCGGCATCTCTTAAGCATCAAGCGTACTATTACTGCACGGAGATTCAATTCAATCTAAGCCAAGCCAAAATGGCAAGGGCGCGTTGTGGCGTGTTTTGTATGTTGTGTCGGTAATCTTGTCACGTTATGGGGTGATACTGAAGCTACATGCCTGCTTTCAAGTTGAAAGTGATAGATCATGCACCAAACAATGGCAACAGGGCCTGCTGGCAGGCGCTTCAGAGTCTACGAGTTTTGTGTTCGCCACTGGTGACGGCAGCTGAAAGCCACCAAGACGCGTTGGGCCTGCCGTGTGCCTAAAACTGGGATTGATCGTAAACTTTATTTCTTCAGAAGGAAACTGCAGATGATTCTCTTAAATAGCCATCAGCCCAATACTGATGTCCTATGCTTACCTTTTGAGGGCTCCTGTTGCGCGACGAACGCTACCTCTACGACCGCAACACCCACAAGCTTTGCGTATGGTATTCTAATTCTTGACTATTTGCTTGCACTTTTTGTGTCTCAAATTAAACTTGCCTTGTGTTGAACCAGTGCTTTTAATGTTGAGGTAAGTTTTAATTAGTACTTCTCAAAGCTTGCTGTTAGTTTCTTGTGCGAGAATCCCGATTTGCGGCCACTTCATTTTCTTTTTTGGTCTGTACGTTTTCGTGGCAAGTTTTCCCTGCGTAGTTTTTGCACCCCCCAACTTTGCATCGGTTTTCTGCCGAAAAAAGTGCGAGGATTATGCGAGTAAATATGGTAAACAGATTCCCACAAATAAATTAGCAATGCAAAAAATTTGGGTGGGCTGGCGCGTGATGAACTACTGCGCAACTTCTACCTACAAAAATGAAAAAAAAGAACAAAAGGAAAAACTCTTTGTTTGTTCCACGTTTTTTCATTCTTCTCTCGCTAGTTGCACTATGGGTCATTAGCAAAGAGAGTCAGCAATTTCATTAGAGCTGCGAGCCAATTTTCATTAGCCCTGTTTGTGTAGTTCAGACCTGATCAGCAAGGGTATTCTCGAGTGTAAAAACACTTTGAGGGCACTTGTCTATTTTGTGGTCATTTGGCACATTACGTTTGTCTTTGTTGTGCTGGATATTTATCTCACTCACCTGTTACCTTTCCCACATTCCCTGTGAATCAGTGAACTGCATCAAAGGCCGTGGTCGCTTCTACCAAGGAAATGTCAATGTGACCAAATCTGGAATTCCGTGTCAGCGATGGGATGTACAGGTGAGTGCATACGATATTTATTAGTGCTGGTACTGATCTGCTGTGTCGTTTTTTCTGGCCACATACCTGCTTGTGCTGACAAAAGCACAGTAGAGATCATCTTGACAATTAAATGACGTGCTAAGCAGTGAAGCAGTTAAATGTTGACTGTGATGTGATAACTGTGCTGGCCTATCTTTTTTCATTAGTATTTGCCATGTGTTCTGTTCAGACACTTTAACAGTGGTAGGCAATGTGTTTGATGCTAATCTTGTAAGCTTAAGTTGTGTCGGTGGTAGTTGTAGACAGCGAACTCCTCAGTGCTGTCGTTGAGGTACCTTAGTGTGAAGCACTGAGCAGCATCTGCAGCGCAGTGCTGACACACTAGTCCTTTCCATCGCAATCATCGAGGCTTAATCTTCAACATCAGTAACACATGCAGTGTTTTTAAAAGGACATTTTCAACTGTCCCGATAAACAGCACTGTTAGATTCAGGGTGTTCCTGCTTTGCTTTTGTGCTACCCGCAGGAACCCCATCATCACAACAGACCTCCGATGGTGTTTCCCGAAGTGCTCAACTCTGATAACTATTGCCGGAATGCTGGTGGTGAAGAACCCATGCCCTGGTGCTATACGACGGACCCCAGGAAACGATGGGAACACTGTTCTATACCACAGTGTGGTAAGTATACAAAGTGACATCATATTGTGTGAGCTAAAGAAATATAGTGCATATAAATTTCCAAGTATTTGTGTAAATTATCAGTCACCCTTGCTTAGGATGGTTGAGAAACCGGGCACGAATTGCACCAGTAGCTGCTTGTGAATTCTACTGGATTAGATATTTTTTAGATATGGGCACCAAGAGAGTGTCTACGGAGTGACCACTCACGTTTTTATGGCTTTGTTAGCGAGTAGATTTTCTCGCAAATGATGGCAACCAAGATCTATGCTTTTGTTTTTTTCAATGCAGCATATGTCATTCGTGCATTTGTAGTGGTTTGTAGAGCAGGCACTCAGCGCATGCCCTTGCGTGACTAATTAAGTGTGGCTAACTTTTTTTATAGTTGACAGGATAACAAGAAAGAAACCAGATTTTCCCAAGGCCATCATACTTGGTTGAGCTAGAAGCAGCAATACAGTTAGAGTGAGGTAACTTTGCACTGAGCTCGCAAAACTGTCTATAGTTTTGTCTTCATTCATGAACACATTAAAGAGAAAGGGAAAATCTCACATATTGCAGAGAGGAAGCATTAGGCATATGGATTTCACTTGAAGTACACATGAAATAATTTTTTTTAGGTAGGGCACTTTACGGTATCACAGTTGATTACTTTTATTTAGTGTGAATAAATGAGAAAAAATTGTGTGAACTATAGGAGCAGATTTATGTTTAATGCCACATATTCTTTACAATTGATCCTTGCACTTATTCAGATATCTAAAGCAGGTAGTAAGTGCACATACACTGCTCTGAATTATACCAACAATATATGAATGTGACATCGAATGATCGATACAATGTCGCTAAAGCTTTATACTGGCTGTAAGCAATAGGAGAACATTTACCCATTACAAAGTTTCTAAACGTGTTGCTTACAAATGTGAATTCTGCTGAGGCACATCGTTGCGAATATACAATTATCATGCTTTATTTGGCAGAATGAGCAGCATAGGCAGCACGTAACTAAAGAAATATTATGCTTATGTCGACAACCTTAGCCAGTGAGAAAACCAGCAAGTCGACACAATGATGAGACCTCAAGTGATAAAGGAATGCATATGTGCTTGTAATGCTTGTGTCCAACTTATCTAGCTCCCTGCAGCGATTGCTAAATGACGTTGGTGCATGTGCAGGCACCGTTCGACCACTCCAGACAACTGCCATCCAGACTGTACACCAATGCCTTACACAAATGCTGGCTTCAACGTCAGATACAACCTAGTTAAGCGTCGTCTAACGCAGTCCTTAATTTCCTGCATAACTGCAATGTGTGGGAATTGAGGCTTGCCCCTTGCTATTGTGCGGGCTTTCCGAGCATGCGTTCTCCTCCTTCACGATCCTACAGTGCTGGAGGTGCACGTGGTGGGCCCACCTTTGCCCAATTGACAGAATTGTGTGATGGCCTCAACGTATAACCTCACATTACAGCAGCTTCATGGTGACGCCATAGTTGTGTGGTGGTAAGATCACAAAGGTTGGCAGTCTCTGATGTTGTAATTATGTCATCTGTCAACATCATCAAATAATTTTTTGCATCACTCATGCTGACGCCAATGTCGTCGGGTGATGTTCAAAGCCGACAGACAAATGTAATCTATGATTTCAGCGATCTGAAAGATTTCTTCTGCTTCAATATTATTAGATTGTTAAGCTTTCGGTTTCTTGCAGAGAACACAACCCTGGGTGACGTGTCGGGCCGCGACATACTGGACCTGTTTGAGCCGCCCGGGGAGCCGTCGTTTGCACCGGCCCTGGTTCTACTCGTGTCCGCCGTGAGCCTCGCGGCGCTGGTGCTGCTGCTGTCGCTGGCGCTGGGCTGCCGCCGCCTCAGGCGCTACGGCGGGGGCCGCTCCCGCGGCGGCGGTTACAACGCCACGCCGACGGCCGACGTGGAGATCGACCTGGACAAGCTGCCCTCGAATGCCTCCTACCACCACACCGCTGCCAGGCTCCACCCGCGATTGGAGAAGCTCGAGTACCCGCGAAACGACATCATCTACCTGAGAGACATTGGGCAGGGGGCTTTCGGACGGGTCTTCCAGGTGTGCTACGTGCTCGTGCCCTGCCAAATTCAAACAATGTTTTGTCCCAGTTTGCCTTGAAGAAAAAAAAAATTATGAACGCGAGGTGTCACTGGAGCCAACGTCTTGACAAGCAGACTTGTCTTCTTCAAGGCTGCAACTTTGCATAGAAGGCAATCCTGATATCGAATTGTGAGCCCCAGTGGCAACCCATGTTCATGAATTTTTTCATAGACTATAGAGCTCACGAATGCGATAAGGTCAGAGAGGGAGAAAGAATTTAGCTCGGAGCACTTGTACAGCCACATGCCATGTGGGGGTGCAGGCACTGGTCTGCTTGCAAACATTGGACCTCCTTATTAGAGACACTGGTGTAAGAGACAGATGAGTATAGGGACACCAGTGTGCCAACATTCAAATAGAGTTTGATAAGAAAATGCATACGTGGTACAATGCTACACCTCATACAAAAGACAAGAATTGACCCTGGTGCACGTCTCTTATAAAGGGGTTTTAGCTGTATTCTGTTCTGTTTATTGACCTCAACGGTTTCTCAAGGGAAGTTCTGCTAATTTAATGTCATTATTTGCCACCAAATAAAAAGAAGGAGTCGTAAAGTAGCATTACAGCAACACTGTATCTTAAGTTAGCCTTAGCAATGGGTAGTTTTTCTAGTGTACCGATTTGTGGTCTTTTTTTGTTGTTAATATTCAGTTGATATGGCACTCTCCTGGATGAAGCAATAACATATTCTATTTGAAATTGTAAGAGCTGCATAATGAAAGTGGAATGAAAAATTGCTTGTGAATGAAAGTTTGCGAACACATTAAAAGGATCCTTCGCAGTTTAAATCAGTCAGGAAACCCTACACTGTTGTGTTTGTTTTAGTAGAGTAAGCCCCAAGATCTAACTGTATTTTTGTCATTGCAACATGGTATCTGTCTAAGGTATCTGTCAAATATTGATGCCCAAAACCTCTGACAGACTTGTACACAATATAGAAAATAAGTAAGCGAATACAATTATTATTACTTCCATCATAATGAAACTGATTGCAGCGGTCAGTTACAGACCGAGCCATGTAACTGAGTGATTACAAAACTGTAATCAATTACTTTTGCGTTACTTTCCTTGAAAATTTTGTTGCCGCAACACAATCACAGAATTTTACCCAAACTGAAACAGACTACTGTGGCTCGCATTGTAGAGAGAAAGGTAGAGGCTTGCATGAATGCTTCTATATGAAGCATCACTGTTGCTGGTGCTCGAGTAAGGCATAGAAGATGAGGCAAAGGAAAAGGTGAAAAAATAAACTATAGAAGGACGCCCTCTGACAGGACGAGGGGTCCTTACAGAATGGTCGTATATTTTTTTTAGACGGAATCTGCTGTAGAAGAGTGTTTATGACTTGGTCCTGGAAAAAAAAGTAATCGATTATCAGCAATAAATTATATTCCAAATTACAAGAACATGTAATTGATTACATTAAATAATTGATTACTAGAAAAGCGTGCTCTGTAACTCTGCCACTGACTCCTTGTCTGTCTCCGGCTTCTTGCAGGCCAAGGCCCCCGGCCTCATCAAAGGGGATGAGTTCACCACGGTGGCGGTCAAGATGCTGAAGGAGGAAGCATCAGAGGACCTCCAGAGCGACTTTGAGCGCGAGGCCTGTCTCATGGCGGAGTTCGACCATCCCAACATTGTCAAGCTGCTGGGTGTCTGTGCCGTGGGGAGCCCCATGTGCCTGCTCTTCGAGTACATGGGCAAGGGAGACTTGAATGAGTACCTCAGGTCCTGCTCCCCTTCCAACTACATCGTCCGCAACCCGTCTGGAGGCTGTGGCGACATGTTCAGCGACGTCCGGCTCAGCCACTTGGAGCTCGTCTCGATTGCGCGTCAGGTCGCGGCCGGCATGGTCTACTTGTCCGAGCGAAAGTTTGTCCACCGGGACTTGGCCACACGAAACTGCCTGATCAGCGACGACATGGTCGTCAAGATTGCCGACTTCGGTCTCTCGCAGAAGATGTATGCGGCTGACTACTACCGAGGAAGCGAGCACGATGCCATTCCGATACGCTGGATGCCTTTGGAGGCCATCCTCTACAACAAGTTCACCGTCGAGTCGGACGTGTGGGCGTTTGGCGTCGTGCTCTGGGAGATCTTCTCATTCGCATTGCAGCCCTACTATGGCATGACGCACGAAGAGGTGGTTGCATTCGTCAAAGAAGGAAACTGCCTCGGATGCCCGGAGGGAGCTCCGGCTCCAGCTTACGCGCTCATGAGGGCCTGCTGGAGTCGCAAGCCATCGGGCCGGCCAAGCTTCAAGACTATTCACAGGGCACTTGGGACACTGCATAACGAGCTAGTCAAGCACAGGGACAAAGAGAACATGGTCCACGTATGAGAACGGGGACCTTCATGACTTCTACACAGTGCGACACCGATGGCTTCATAAGTCGCGTGCTTGACAATGGGGGCCACTTTTTGGGTTTCTCAGAAGAACAGCCTTATAGGGTCAGTTTCGAGAGCCATGTTGGGTGATTCATCAACCGCAGCTTTTGGTGTGGTGTGGCTTACTGTTTGAAACTTTGTAAAGATCATTGAGTGTTGGTGTTAGCGAGGTGAATTTGCTGGACTCTGAGCATGAACATTAGTATCTTCTATGTCACCTTTTGTTTTCGACCACTGCTTTTGAATGTTCAGTTGTCGTTATGGTTTTACAACTTTTGCAGTTGAATCGCGTACCGTGCATTTAGCACGGTTCGAATTGTGGGTGTCCAAATTAATCTAAGAAAATATTTTATTTGATGGTGCCAAAATTTAATTCGTGAAACACCAGTGTGAGGCTTGGGAGGTCTTCAGGAACAGCATTGCTGCTCTTTTGATATGTGGCACAGACATAGGTTTTATTCATAGAGGTGTCTGACTCCTTCTACAAATGTTCACATGTGGACTGGTATATGTGGGCTGGTATATGTGCGCATATATCTAAACACAAAATGTCATATTTTGCGAAGGAGGAGATTTGAAACATGAAGCCACTCTACAGGTCATGACACTACTTTTAATCTTTCAATTTAGTATAAACATTCAGGGCATAAGTGAAAAGGTTATTTTGTAACCTGCCACTTCTGATAATATCTGTGGTTTGTTGAGGCAATCTGAAGAGTAACGCCTAACGTATCTTGTTATTAATTGTGTGTTACTAAAACAACAATCAATCATGGCAATTAAATAGCTTAGGGTGCAAATGAGAATAATGTGTGCTTTAAGATTAGTTTATGCCAATGAGAAGCTTTTAAATCTTTCATCAGCCACAGTAGCACTTCAAAACACTTTGTGCTTTTGTGGTGAAACTATTACGAGTTATGTATGCACATTGTGTGATCACAAGCTATGAACTTGTTAGATACATGTGTGTTAGATACATGCACTTTATTCACCTAATCAAGGAATTGGAATTTCATTTTGGCCCCAAGAAAGCTATTCAATCGTTTTCCCTACATTGCAGAAGCTCGAAGGTGCCCTGCAACACTTTTTCAAGTAATCGTCTAGTGGCTTCATTAAAAGAGCTTATCACCTTATGAATCTACTGCCGCAAATTTTGTTAGATGCCATCAAGTATGAGCGTAGTTACAGGGATTCGCCACACGATTTCAGTGCTTTCTCTCTTCTTAAGTACCAGCGAGTGCACATCCCCCTCCCTGCCTAGCGCAGGGAGGGAACATTATCCGAATTATTTTTCCTTCAGTTAGCTGCCTGGGGAGGGGTAGGAGCAATACACCAAAATAGAACTCGTATGTTTACTTTAAGCACATCATTACTGCAAGAATTACCGTTATTGGTCGAAAAAAAGATGTTGCTGCATTAATATTATCAAAACATTTCGTACTCAATCGGCACGTAGCAGGGCTCAGATTGCTCAAAGTCCTTTCTGTGTAGTTGGTATCGCACTGAATGCAGCAATGCAACTGCAGTTTGACATTATTTTAAACAGCAGAGGACTTTTCACTCAAAACTAGCTTCTTTACTTAGATGCAATGTTCCATGCTTTCAAAGCTACCGCTACATCTACGAAGGCGCGCTCTGGTTCACGATGGTGAGGAATATTTGTAAGGTTGAACACTATATTCATCGGGTTTTATCCATTTGCTTGTACGAACAGGCCACTAACTACGAGCGCATCTGAATACATTCCAACAGATCAGTGCACAATACTACAGGCAAACTACTCTGACAGAGCAGGGACCAAGTGCCTGATCCCATCTATCAATACGGAACTTTTGTCGTCCTGTGAAGATTGTAAGGAGGGCTTCCGAGATGGGGCTTTTTTACATGAGCGACCATTTCAACGTAGTTGAAACATTGTGTTTCCTTACGTCGGAAAATAATTTACATCTTCTTGGACGTCGTCACAATGTTTTTTAAATGTGAAGACATCATTTACGGTTGACGTGTTGTATTATTGTTTTTGTTATTGCTTGGAAAAACTTTATATATGCATATTTTACATTTATATACTCGTTTGTTTCTTTTTTTACTCATACCTTTTACTCATGAGTTGTGTCTGTTTTTTTTTTACTTTCTTTTACTTCTAAACAAAAATCGTGTGTAGTTATGGCAGCCGGGTCACATTGTATCATGTGAATGGGAGGTGTCTAGAAAGCTTTCAAGAATGGCAGGAGTCGTTGAGCTTTTCTCGTATAGAGGCAACTACTGTGGACGAAGTCGTCGACCTACAAAAGCCTTGTGAAATTACTATTGCGGGAGCATTTCGAAGATTGTGTAAATACTGTGTGCCAAGATTTCTTGCGTGGATTTGTGTGAAGTGCTTGTTACTAAGCTATTCATGAAAACGAGGTTTTCAACCTTCCAATATGTGGGAGGAAGTTTGAAAAAGACAAGCATTACATGAGCAAAATACTGTTGACTGTGGTCCGCTTACAATGACCTTTTGAAGGTTGAATCTAGGATACCTGACTGTTTCTATGAAATGCCAGAAAATGTTCTGTGAGATTTTAGTTCTCGCATTGAAGTTCGGCGTGCGTTATTACGCATAAACATTATCATGCATTGTACAGACTCGGTAGGTCAATACTCCAAGGTACCATTTTTTTTTTTGTTTCTGCAGGGTGAACCACATCTGCAAGCACTATCTATTTTCAAATTTTGAAGTGCTGCTCAATATCTATGCCCAATATATCCTGTCCTAGTCAACTCGTGCTGCAATGCTTAGGTACTCCTGGTGAATCCTTGGCATCTTATATGGCATTATGTTCAATCAAAATTGAAAACCTACCAAAAAAGTTCCTAAAGTCTGTCATTCGTTCATCTCATTTTTTGCTCTTACTTGCAACTTAAGCACCAACAAATATTCTCCGGCACAATGTCAACGTAACCCACATTCTCTCACATTTCACAGGGTTGAAGTTGTGATTGACAAAGAAACCAAAATATTTTATACACAGCCAACACTGAAATTGCTTGACTGTGGCATTGAGCGTATGCATCTAAATATTCTTATCAATTTTGATGTTTTGAAAAAAATCAATGCTGGAGTTAACTGAACTAAAAGCTCAATATGTCCACCTTTTTGATTTCAGCATTTTTTGCTGCGAAGTTTGAGTTATGTAGATTGGGAACAGGAAGCTTTCGTGTGTTTAGGTTTAGTTACGGACAACTGGAAACAAATCTCTCTGTTCTTCACTCTACTGGTGCGCAATTTGTTTTCCGCGAAGGCTCACAGCGATCACTTCATTTTACATATTGTCTACACGTTTGCACTTGCTGTACCACGGCAATATTAAGGTCTGCTGATCCCGTTATGTACCGCCTACGCTGAACGCTGCTGGTTTACATGTGTGTGCCGTGTTTGAGAGAGTGTGAGCTCTGCAGATGCCGCACTGTTGTTGTGTATACCAAATCCTGCATGGCGGGGGAGTACACATAAAAAAAGCAACTTTTTCACATTGCGTGTACGTACCGGAAAAGTCACAAGCACCGCTCGTGGCAGCATACTGTTTCTTTTACCTTGTCACTTGCATGTATGTCTGGATGTACATTTCGGGAAGTGGGAACACGTTGTGGCATTTGTACATAAAAGCACCATGGTACTTCTAACAGTTGTTGGTGTGTTGTTTCCGCTGATACCCTCTACGTAAATATCACAAATTATTGCACTCTCGGTTAGTGCATTTCAGAATGTCACAGTGATATTGGTCAGTGCTCAGGGCCTCCTTTTCCTCTAGATGAACCCTGAAGCACACCTGAGCAGCTAACCTGTGGAGGCTGACCACCCCTGCCCACTTTTATTTTTGTGGGACGGTGAAACTGCTCCCTCCCTCTTTGCAGATTCCCCTTACTTTGTGTCCTGGCCTTGGAAGCATGCCATGCGGTGATAGCTTCGTACTTATGAGTTTCCCCCCTTTACCATAAAAGTTATAGAAAGTCAGCTAGGTATAACAACGTTCAACACTATGCTTGAGATCACCGTGCAGTGTACTATTGATACACAGGGATGATGTGTTGGCACGGCACAGCACCTTCAGGCAACAGCTGCTCCCAAGCAGCAACAGCGTCTTGGCAACTACATTGGACATATTTTACCCAGCGCACGACTACACGGACACAAGAGAAGAAGGGACAAATTGCAGCGCTGACTCGCAACAGAATTTTTTGTCGGCAAAAAACATGAACGGAAAAGGAGCACTTCAACCTTCACACCCATGTGACCAAACCAAGGCGATAAAATCAAATCAGCTGACATTTTGAACAATAAAAAGCCTTGATATATTCCACGTGTACTCTCCAACTGCATAAAAGCTAAGATATCATGCTATTTAAGAACCTAACTTCACTATCATGTAGAGCTATAGAAGGCACACTAATGCACTGCTCGCCCCCTTTTTATCGATATTATATGCTTCAATTATTTTTCGTGTGGTTTATTCTCTGTGTGTCGATAGAACTTCTGCTCCATAAAAAATATGTGCGCTATGGCACTGTGCAACATGTTGGGATACATGTGAGCATATATTTCCTTGCAAAGAACGTCTGTGTTCCAACAATCTAATGTTAATGCATCTACTTGCCTATCTATACACGACCACTGGAAAATGGCAAAAGATACATGATACCTGATCCTGCACTGTATAAAAGGAGTTATGTGTTTGATGTCGCAGCGTTCTTTGGTTACTCCTGACACACGCTTCTTAAGTTTCCGTTCAACCATCCCAGAAACATTATTCAACTTATTAGGCAACAAAACAACTACACTTACACCAAACCGGCTGGCAACAATCTGCAAATTTTGGGATAGTCTATGTATGTACGGGAGTACTGCTCAATATTTCCTATGCTCTGGATCTGGTTCAACTCGCTTGGTCCACTAGTGAACAGTTCGGTGGGTGCTAGCATTCGGAAAACCTGCGTCTGTTAGCTTCGCCACTTGCTCCGAGAAACTAGTGCCCATTGGATGGAAGTAAGACCTAACAGTGCAGAACACGAACATGGGAAAGCAATACCATTCTTAATAACTTTCGAATGGCCATAATTAAAATTCCTGGAGTGGTTAAGAAAAATGAAGACAGTGTCACTATCAGTACACAAAGAGGACTCATGCGTCAGCAAGCCTTCCTTGTCTCTATCCGAGATGAAATTAAAGTTGCTTGAAAGTATCGGCGCGTGCAACTAGTGATAGTTTTTTTAATCATCATTATCGTTTCCTTAGCCTTTTTTGTCTTTATGCGTGTTTTTTTTAACACGAAGCCCTGCTGTGGTGCTTGCTAAGGTACTCGACCGCTTACCTGCAGGTCGCGAGATTGAATCCAGGCGGTGGCGGCTGCATTTTCGCTGCAGGCGAAAACGCCATAGGCCCGTGTGCTCAGGTTTGGGCGCACGTTAAAAATCCCCAGGTGATCGAAATTTCCGGAGCCCTCCACTACGGCGTCTCTCATAATCACGTGATGGTTGTGGGATGCTAAACCCCACATATCAATCAATTCTTTAAATGCGAATGCATTTCTTAGTCGGGGCATGTCAGGCGTCTGTCAATGTCCGCGCCGCAGGTGTCATCTCTCCGATCTCACTCCCTCTCCCATAGCAACAGCTGCGGGCGTGCGCGGTTATCGTCGCCCAACCGGAGCAGGCGGTGTGGGCGAAGAGCGAGTGGAGAGGAGGAGCGCGCTGTGGCGTGTGAAGGCGCTCGCATAGCGGGATCTGGGTGGAGCTCCCGCGTGTGTGGAGGCAGTGTAGGAAAGGGTAGGTGTAGTGCTTCGCCGCTCCTCTCGCCATTCGCTCACTCTCCTCCCTGTGCCCCACTCTCCCGTCGCGCGCCTCACTCGACCGTTCCCTGGCTGATGAATGCGTAAATAAATGGTTTCTGTAGAAATCCTCGTTTTGTCATAAATTTACACCATTGAAATACTACGCTGCATACTCTCGGCGCAAGAAATACATTCGTATTTCCTCACGATTTTCTTCGGGTGGGGGCATTTTTTTCCTTTTTTCATAATTTTCTTTTTGCTTTACTCATCTTCGCATTGCTCAACTTTTGTCGCATGACTTTTTGTCTTCTACATATATTTTCGAACCCTGCACAATAAACTCAGTTGGAAGTTAGCATTCGTCTTCTTGTCCTTTTTGTCGTCGTTCTGAGCTCGCGCTGTCAGAATCGTCATGGCTGTATTCGTGATCAAAGTTAGTAGAAACACCGAGCCGATGAAGTTACACTGTATTGCTTGCAGTTCTTCAAGAAACGTCATATGCATGCGTGTGCACTACATGAGTGTATTCGAAGTCAACTGACACAGCATAAAAATAGAAAAATAGCATCAAGGACTCAATAAAAACCGTCAAAGATCACCATGAATGTTGCCGACTACAACCAAGTTAGACACAACAGCCGTGATTGCGTACACCAGCACTCTAAGCCGAAATCTATCGACGGTTAAAACTATGGAAGTTCGAATGGCGTCATCCACAAAACTATTACCAGCGGTATGCGATTACGTTGTCGCTAACATTTTGATGCGTTAAACGACTAAATACTTGTACGCAACACGCTTTCGGGAAGACACCAAGCACAAGAACCACAAAGACAATTAGAAATCAGAACGCGGGAAGCGTACAAGGCCCTCCGATGCTGATATGCCCATGCCAACGCGATAACTCTGGACACCAAGCACTTACTTTTGCTAAGTTCGTCAAATACGTGACAGGCACCACCTTCTAATAGCAAATGTACATCTCAGTGATCGTGCTTTTGCTCTCGGGAATATAAAACGTGATGGGTTTCTCAAAATATGTATGGGTCGGCCTACTTTCGAGCGAATACGATGCTTTGTAGTCTCAAGTCGCTCCAGCTCTGACCACAGGACATCACCCTCGGCTTTCAACACGCCGACATTTTCTGTGCAGACTTAATTTTCAGTCTCAATCAACTCTACCCACACTTTCGTAAAATCGTAGTACTCTTTGACGAAGTTCAGGATGGTCTTTAATTCTTTAATATATTTTTCTATATAACGAAGGCTTTATCAAAAATAACTGAATTCTTACATAATTGGTTGTCTGGAATGCTCATCACCAGGATTCGCAAGTATACAAACAACGCAAGCAGGAATGTGTGGCTTAAATAACGTAAACACTAAACATTCAGCAGCAGCAGCTACGACAGAAAAAATTAATGTGAAAGATGCGGCGAAAGTTGGAAGCAGAACACTGACCAGCACAATAGTAGTTCAAGTGTGAGCAGGTACACGTGTTCCAAGCTACTGCTGCAACTAAGACGATCGTGGGTCTTCGAGGAGCTTCCAAAGGCCCCGCTCAAAAAACAACGCAGCCGTAGCAACCATCTGATGCGCACTATACATAGATCTTCCCACGAACGAACCAGTGACTGACTTGTGGGGTTTAACGTCCCAAAACCACCATTTGATTATGAGAGACGCCGTAGTGGAGGGCTCCGGAAATTTTGACCACCTGGGGTTCTTTAACGTGCACCCAAATCTGGGTACACGGGCCTACAACATTTCCGCCTCCATCGGAAATGCAGCCGCCGCAGCCGGGAATCGAACCCGCGACCTGCGGGTCAGCAGCCGAGTACCTTAGCCACTAGACCACCGCGGCGGGGTGAACGAACCAGTGAGACGATCTAGTTAATCCCACAGTGGTCGTCCACAAGTCCCGCCAATCGTACCCAATAATAGTTCACCTGCCAGCAGGCGCACACAAGCCGTCGCAAGCACCCGCTACATATCGCGTCAAATTTCGCTTACCGGAAAACATTGGACTGTAATAGTGTCTTGCTTAGAACCGCAGAAGCGTCATTTTTTTTTCTAAAAAGCGGTCGCAGTAAAAAATTTATAACGGCTTTTAAGCGATAAGAGCGAAAAAATAAGCGTGAATTTGCCCTTCGCCTACAAAAAAAAACGCAAGCAAACGTCATCATCACGCCTTTTTTCCCGGCACCTCTTGCAAACAAACGCGATGGCCAGTGCAGTTCAACCCTACGTTAGCAATATATATGTATTGTTTCAACGTCAGGCCAACTGCTATTTGTTTTGGGCCCTCATAGCTGACAATGTATGGAAACAGAAGGAATCACGCAACATCGCGTGGCGGTTGCCGGAGTTAAGCAAATACATCGAGATATAGCGCACACGAAGTCTGTATAAAATTCCCGCTTGACAAAAAAAAAGATGGATTGGCCTTTCCAGGTACACCAGGAATGAGTGACACTTCCGTCCCCTTTGTTGTGTGCTTGGCCATGCGACAACGCCAAGTAGCGCGAGCGTCGACAGGCCTTATAGCGGAATATGCTTCGTCATGGCTGGCGCAATTGCCGAAATGCTTGGTTGCAATTTCGTGACGAAGCGATAACTTTTTAGCGGTAGATCAGAGTCGCTATTACGGAGCGATGCTTACGCTATGGTTTTCTTATCATCCACGACTGGAGGCTGGCTGATGGCGTTGATAACGTGGGTGGACCGTCGATTCGACTACTCGCCAAGCACGAAAAGCATTGACATCGGATAAGGAATCGTTCTGCGATCGCATGACGGAACGAACGGAGGAAAAAAAATGCGAGAGGGGGGGGAGTGGTGGTGATGCGCAGTGCGAATAACTTGGGCCGGCTCACTACTCCAGGAATGGCCTCTGACGTCACTCAATTTGGAACCTCGTCGCCTGCCGGCTAGACGTGTGCATGCATACTCCCGCCGTTCGATAGGGCAGGACCGCTAAGCCCGATGAAGCCTCTCGTGGTGTGCTGGTGTTTCTTTTAGCGACTGCATGAAGACGACCGTATTTATCTTCATCTGTGAAGTGCTTCGTTCACTGAATGTTCGCGTAGTGTACAGCTGCAAGCCCTCGCAGTGGGGCAGTGCTGCGGTCCCAACTGTCGCCGATGTTGACCATGTGCCGGAGCTTCGAGTATTTTCATTCCCGAAGGACGACTGAGATGCGAAATGAGAGCGCGCCGTTCATCGGGGTGACATCGATATGAGTTATCGGCGTGATTGAAAGGTAAGCCTTCGATTCGTTTAAAAAGCAACGCCTCTGACACGTTCGGTCCTTTCTGTAAAATGGTGTCCGCGCTTCTGATTTGTTCGCGTAAGCCTCGAAGTTAGACACCTCTGGATATATATATATATATATATATATATATATATATATATATATATATATATATATATATATATATATATATATATATATATATATATATCCGTGGTCTACTTATCGTCACGCTCCGCTCATGTGCAGTCAATTACACCGCCAATATTATCCCTGTACGCATACCTTCCTTGGTTTCACTGTCTGTTGGTTTCAATAAGTTGTTGCGAACGCGACTTGCAAGAGTCCCGCGTGAGATCATGTGGTGGTGGTGAAACATTTATTAACCATTAAATGGTTACAGAGAGGTGATTGGTTTGGGGCCTTATTGGCCTCCTACCCTCACAGCACTAGGTGGAACCCCTATTCCGGAGCTCCATTGGCAAGCAACGCCGCCCGCGCCCTTTGAACCAGAACTTTTTGGGCCTTCAGGTCTTGACAGCCGGGCAGGGCCGCCTACCAGTCTTCTATCGTAAGGTTGGGGGGGGGGGGGGGGATAGATGACGTCAAGGAAGCATGCGATCCCGTTTAATTACCGCATGTGCGAAGGGCTCAAACGGTTTCGTGTTCTCAGACGTGAACGTCATTCTGGGTGTGTGTTAGGTAGGACTGCAGTTTTTATTTTATTTTCGAGCTCTTTCGCGGGAGAAGTTTACTATGGTTGGTGAATCGCCTATACGCCCCAAATTTTACTGATTCGGCTGCGTTCACTTAAAATCCACTCGTAAGTGTGAACTGTTATGGGCTTGTCACATCACAGGCCTAAATGGACACTCAGCAGCAACGCGAGGTTGACTTAAATTCAGTTTGCAGAGAAATGAAAAACAAACGATTGTTTGGTCAAACTTTATTAAAAGTAGAGTTGCAGAACTGCCATAGAGTTGTAAGATCCAAGCCGTTCTTGGTCGAGCTTTTCAAGCCCGGGGTCCGAGGTAACGCTCGTGGGCGTCAAAAGCGCCACGGGAATTTGTGAGGCCTATCAGAAAACTGTTATCACAAACGCCCACGGGCCGCAAGAGATTCGGTAAATCCTATACTGCTCGCAACTTCCACTAAAAGGTAGAGGGCAACAGCCAGCCCGAAAAATGACGTGTGCGTTATCATAGCCAAACCACAGTCACGTGATACACTGCGGTTCTAAAAGGTGACGGACTTCGAAGACTGACAAGGACATGTTTAAAACAGCAGTGAGCCAACGTATCAGAGCATCTTAAGCGAAGGCTTCATTATTTGTAAACCTGTATATTATAATGATGTGGTCGAGTCGTAAAACAATGTTATCACTACAAAGCTTGACAAAAAATTAAGGTGGCTTGCACTAGAGGTGCCAATGCTAAAGGAAGGACAAAGCTGGGCAGCCCTTCCAGCATTGCCTGTTTTTTTCTTTTTATTCATATAATCACCACGGCACTCGTTAACAAGAGGAAGACCTCTCTTTGGCGCGATTATGCACTGAAATGGCGCTATGCTTATGCGTGGTTTCGCCTGCGTTACGTCAGGCTACGACAGCATATACGACGATTACAGCATACGACACATTCTGGCCTCCTCAAATGCTGCGAGTTGTATAGTGTTCAAGGAAGAGCAGTGATGCAACATATCCGTAAGACTTGTAAACCACAGAAAAGCGATAGTCTGACCACGGGAACACCACCACCAGCGTCGCTCTTTCGTTGATGTCCGCAAAACAGCAGTTGGTTGAATTTTTTAACGTTAACCCTTTCCTTTGTTACCACCTCTACGCTTTTGCCTATCCTTACTTCTCCGGGTATATTGTTTTCCATTCCAGTTGGTTTAAAGTCAGTCAGACGAACAGATAGATAGATAGATAGATAGATAGATAGATAGATAGATAGATAGATAGATAGATAGATAGATAGATAGATAGATAGATAGATAGATAGATAGATAGATAGATAGATAGATAGATAGATAGATAGATAGATAGATAGATAGATAGATAGATAGATAGATAGATAGACAGACAGACAGACAGACAGACAGACAGACAGACAGACAGACAGACAGACAGACAGACAGACAGACAGACAGACAGACAGACAGACAGACAGACAGACAGACAGACAGACAGACAGACAGACAGACAGACAGACAGACAGACAGACAGACAGACAGACAGACAGACAGACAGACAGACAGATAGATAGACAGACAGACAGACAGACAGACAGACAGACAGACAGATAGATAGATAGATAGATAGATAGATAGATAGATAGATAGATAGATAGATAGATAGATAGATAGATAGATAGATAGATAGATAGATAGATAGATAGATAGATAGATAGATAGATAGATAGATAGATAGATAGATAGATAGATAGATTTAACATGCCTAAGAAGTGAGAATGTACGTGAAAGACACCATAGATGGGAATCACGGCTGCAGTAGGGCGTAAACTATTGGTTTCTGAACGCGCACCTTAAGTTCACAAGTTCTTTTCACAGTTCGTCTCCTACGGAATGCTGCAGCCACCGCCGCGCGTACTAGAGCCCGCGACTCTTCCAAAACCTGCGCGCCTGCGTCAGAAGCTCACGGCCACAAATTCACCTAGCAGCCGCGTCCGAACGATACGCGCACATAGGACCATTATCACCACCGTGCCACCACTGCACGATGTCCGCGTACTGCTTGCGCTCTCCCGTGCGCGCCTCGTGCACTGCCTTGCAGAGGGCGCAGTGGTCGTCGAACCAGGTCCTCTTCACGGCGTGCGTCCGCTTCCAAGCGAAGTAGCGCTCGTACAGCGTCGCGTTCGCCGCCACTGCCTTTAGATGCGACGCCAGGTGTCGCGGCGTCGGAAAGCGGAAAGCGTCGATGTACGAATCCGCAGGCGCCAGAGAGCTAGCGTAGTTACCAAGCACCACGGGAACCATGTCGTAGCGCAGGGCGTGGTAGAACTTCTCCGTCACGTATTCTCGACACAGGCTGTTCTCGAGAGCCAAGTAGAAGTAGTACGTGTCGGCGAAGCGCGCTTGACACGGGTCGTCGACGCACTTGAGGTCGCCGCATTGTCCGTACACGTCGACCGCAACGTACTTGCGCAGCTCGGACACGAAGACTTCTCGGTGACTCGCACTGGAACAGCGGCTGGCCACCCAGGCCAGAAGTTTGGGTCGTGTAGTCCTGACGGAGGATGTATGCTGGGGTTTCAGCGACGTCGTGACGTCTTGCACGGAGCGGTTTACGAAAAAGACGTAGGGGAGCGGGACATCCGAATCATGCCTGTACGTGTATGTCCAGTTGAAGACGCCCCTGAGTCTCGCCATTCTGTCCCGCCGGCTGTTCGGAGGAGGCTCCATGTTCCAGTAAACCCAACGCTGACGTTCGTTGCGGTAGCTGCGAGGAAGGTTGTTTGAGGTTAGTCAACGAAAATGGAGCCGTATTTTGAAGGAGCAGCTGCTCCTTCGTTGCTTTGTAGCTGCGTTATTTGTTTTGAGCAAGAACAGCAGCTATGTGTTAGAAAAATAGCTGCAGTTAATGTGCCCACACCGCGAAGCAATGAAAGCAGCGGCACCCTGCATGGTGAACCATTAGTCGACGCAATGCAACGGCAGTTCCCGCTTGAGGGGCCCAGCATCGGGTATGCTACACCAGATTTGTAGTGAAGCATAACGGAGAGGCGAGTGAGTTGGTACTGGTCCATGACGACTTAATGTAGCGCAAAAAAAAAAAAACACGGAGAAGAGAGCATACACCACAAGCGCTTAACACCACAAGCACTTGTGGTGTACCCTTTCTTGTCCGTGTTTTTTCGTGCTACATTTAAGTTGGTATGGACAAGATTTGCGGTACATAAGATATCTGATATGGCGTGATGGAACGCGGATGTTGCAGAGAGCTTACTGGACTTCATGCTGTCTTCATTGCTGACCGATTAGGGCTCCCTTGTAGAAATTGAAGACCGTGCACATACAGCGTGTTGCGCTTATTGGGGACTCTTACGCCTCATTATGCGGCCTGGAGTATTCCACTACCAAATAATTTCTTCTCTCGGTCTCATCTCTACCCCCACCTCAGATATCTCTGCCATCTGGCCTTATACAGGTTGTGGCAGAGCTCCGCATATTGGGCCTCTACATATCTTCTACTATGAACCCTGGCTCTATACCACTGGCATCTTCGGCGCACTAGTTAGCAGGTTAGCCGTATGAATCGGCGGGTCTCCACCAAACGCGGCGGATTTCGCGGTTGGCACTCCCTTCGCTTGGCTCACGCGTTTGTAACCAGCCGAGTCCTCTACGCTTCCCCATACCTTCGCTTGCGTCGCCACCACGAGAACCATTTGGATGCACTGCTCCGATCGGTTATAAAGCGAGCACATGGACCTTCCCATTGCTAATTTCAATCGCCGCTTTGCGGTCTTGGGAGTGCACAACTCGTATGCCGAATTGCAAGAGGCTCATCGCACCAATCAAATCAACCGCCTGTTCCACACGGTTCCTGGACGCCACTGTCTGGACATGCTATCACTGAACCCGATCTCTACTCCATCACCTGATTCCTCCGTTCTGGAGCTGTGGCGGCCAAAGCTTTGGGTCGAGCCTCTTCCTCGCAACATGGATCCCAGTCAACACACAGGCGGGCGCCTAGCCCGGACACAATTTCTCCACACGCGATACTCCAACACTCTTGGTGCCTTCTACGTAAATGTCTCAGGCCCAACCTCCTGGAGACACTTTACGGCCGAAGTGATATCCGAGGGTCACCACGTTGACGGCATCTCTTTCCGCTCATCTGATGCAACTCGGGCTGAAGAGGTAGCCATCGCTTTGGCCACCTCTCGCCACATGAGTTATCATCATGGACTCACGCATCGCCTGTTTTCGATACCTGCATGGTACCATAGCTCATCTGGCCGCCGAAGTTCTCCAGGCGACCTTATGGCGCTTTGAACCTCACTCCATTTGCATAATACGGTTTCCTGGCCACACGGGTCTTCCCGGTAACAAAGTAGATAATGCTGCAGCCTGCGTTTCTCTCTATGTGGCCATTACCTCTTTCGACCCCGCATCTCCCCCCAGGCACCTCACCTCCTACGCACTACCGCGACATCCTCGATTACTATCGGACCTCGCGCCATCGTTACCCAGAACCTGCATGGGCTCTCTCTAAAGCGGACGAGCGACATCTGAGACGCCTGCAGATGAACACCTTTTTGTGTCCTGCAGCCGCCCAGCATTTCATGCCGGGTATATACGGCTACTGTGCACATTTTGGGGTGCTGGTCGACACCTCCCACATGATTGCAGTATGCCTGGTCATACCTCTTCCTTTCTCATCCCCCTTCCCTCTACACACAAGAAATGCTTGGGAGGAGTTACTGCTCAGCTGCTCCACCCGGGACGCTCAGCGCTCCCTGCTGGCCCACGTCCGAGCAGCGATGACCTCCAGAGGACTTCTGCAATAAGGAGACCACCCAAGTGCACTTGTAGTGCAACTTTCAGCGCTTTTTCGTGTAAATGTTTTTCCTCCACCAAAACTTCAGCGTTGAGAACACAACACGTACGCACAAAGGTATGAGATGTCAGCTGATCCATGCCAAGATAACAAGTCCATTCGATTCACCCTGCATATAAACTGGTTCGGCAAGTGCAAGAAATTGAAACTGGTGGTCCTTGCCTCTAAAATTGCCAGCCGCGCACCCTTAAGCAATCACGTAGGCCTGCATTGGCGCTTTTTTTTGGGGGGGGGGGGGAGGGAGAAAAGGCGAGTTATTTGCACGTTTGTGACACCAGAAGATGTCCCTTGGTCCGCTCCTGTCGTCTCGTTTGGGCCACCAAAACATATGGCGCGTGCCTCATCAATGCCGGCGCGCAATGCATGGATGACAAAGAAAAGGCCTATTCTGACGACGCGCTGAAGAAAGGCTTTAGTAGTTCAGTCACGAAAAAAAATATTTGTGCATAAATATTTCTCGTTCACTTTAGCCTGTATAATTACGGCAAAAATATGCAAGTTTTTATGTGAGCGACTTCAAGAAGAGCCTCACTGGCTCAGGAGTTCATTAACCAAAAACGTAGCTGCCGTTGCAGAAAGAAAGAAGTAAAGCTCGTTTTAAAAACAAAGTTGATAAGTCTGATCAACTTTGTAGCAACTATATTGTAGCAAGTATAATAAAATCCCCCATATTTACGCATTTTCCAAAAAAATAGTTTTCTTCACTCTACAAGTTTCAAACAATGTTCTTTCAGTCTTCGTTGTGCATATATTCCGTACACAAAGTGTCTTGTTTGTAAAAGTTATATTTGTGGGTTACATCATTACAAACTTTCGAGAACGACTGGTGATGAAATTAGTTCCTCAGTGTTGAATATATTTGATTTTTTTTTTTGCTTCGTAAACTATGCAGTTAAAAGATATCCTTTTCAGGCTGCTGGGTGCTATATGCATGAAATATGAAACACTCAATCAAATCTAAAATATCTTTTTTTTTAATTTGTGTCAATCTCTCGTTCAATTACCCGTTTGTGACAGTGGCGTAGCCAGGGGTTTCGATGCTGCGACCAAAAGAATTCATCGGAGTGAGCTTTGCAAAAAATGGCCCCTACAAGATCAAAAAAGTTACCAGTAAAGTGACACCGGACCTTACCGAAAATAAATTACAACGTAAATACATTACCCGTCACAGTTCTAAAATTGTAACGAGCACGTTACTAAGTTACCGGGAAAAGTCACGCGTTACCGGTAACGGTGCTACTTGTAACGCGCTACCGCCAACACTGACGATATGTCGCCGTAAAGCAGGGTCTAAGGCACGGTATAAGAATTCTTACACCATGGTTATAGCAGAACTGGTGAGCAGCTAGCTGCTCCTGGCTAGTAACTATACTATATACTATACTATGCTATGATATGCTGTACAATATTATAATATAATATGTTATACTATGCTATATAATATGCTATACATTGCTATGCTTGATCTCTTTTTTTTTATCTCTCTCTCTTTATTGTGTTGGTTTCCTCTCTTTCTCTGTCTATTTCTTTCTGTCTTTCTAATTTTTTATTGTTCTTTCTTTTCTTTAACCCGATTTATCACTCTAGGCATTTTTATCCTTCTCTTTCGCGTTGTTCTCTCAACTAATATTTATTTGCCCTATTCCTTCACTTTCTGTTTCCTTGTCTCTGTACTCGTTCTCTTTGCTCACTTCCCTTTTTTGAAGAGGGGTGATTTTGCGAACGCCGCACAAACGCCACACAAACGAACACCGCACAGGGTAGAGCTTGATCAGCTCTATCCTGTGTCTGTGGGGGGGGGGGGGGGATTTCGGTGGGGGAAATCATTTATCTGATTTCTCACGTTTCAACCTACGCCGCGTACACTACATATTCATAAGTTCTCATTGCCTAACTGACGTTTAGAACGCTCTTCGCTGAAAGTGGGTTGACGTAATACTAGTTAGCTCATGCGTCACTCTCTGCAAATAATCCGGTTATGCGCACAATTTTTTAGGGGCGAAGCTCTTTAAAGCGGCACCCGTTCGTAGCTCGTCTTAGTGCGTAACATGTCTTACGTCTCGAGCTGCGAGGTGGTGCCGGTGGGAGATTTCTCTTGTGCGTTGTTGAACAGTAAAAAATTCGCAGCCAGCGCGTTAACTAAAAGCCGAATTCTCCTGTCTCTCATTCCTCATTAGCAGCCATTGGCATGTACATGGATCACTATCTGACAAGAAAGGGTTGCTACGTTATACTCGCTGAGCGTAACCTCCTTGGTTTTAGAAAGGTTTAGCGAGCGTTGGGCCGCAGTGCCATGAATACAGTGAACTAGTATATACCATGAACTCGAGGTGGTGAAAGGTGGGAAGTAACACGAAATGCAAGCCCTAAGAAAGTGTGCGTGTGCCACCTCTCGTTTAGTCCTTGGAATGTCCGCTGGATGGCGGTGCTTCCATATTCGGAATATATGATGAAAAGATGAGAGATGGTGGTACTTGGAGTGTTGACTAGATGGTCTAACGGACACACAGATGCATGGACGGGCGCACGGATGGTTGCACGGACGGATGGACGTATGGACGGACGCAGGGATGGACGCACGGACGGTCGCACAGACGGACGCATGGACGGACGCATAGATGGACGGAAGCAAGAACGAATGGATGGACCGATGCTTCGCTCCACTCTCCATCATTCACCGCGTGGATATGCTGCCTTTTTTTTTTTTTTACCTGGGCAAGTCACGGGCGTCGGCGTCCTTGTCGTGAAACACAACCACGTCCGCGGATTTCACGAGGGACCGGTCCCGTGTCACGAAGCATGGCACCTTGCAGCCATTGAGGCGGACCAACCCTCGCGATGACTTCTTCAGCGGACGTTGCCAGAGTCCGTGAGCCTTTGTCCAAAAGAGCAACCTGATTTCGGTGGTGTTCGCTTTGCGCGGCCTGCCCGGCTTCGTCGTTGCTAGTGATCGATATTTCTCGTAGTCAATTCTGTACTCGTACAGTAATAAAAGCAAGGTCACAGTACCCACAATGCATAGTTCGATGAAGAAGCGCCGCAGAAAACTTGCATAATGCTCCATGGTATCTACAGAGGAGAAAAAAATGTAAATTTTAACGTGTGATGATTAGACTGGACAAAAGGCGGCTATAGTTTAACGTTAGCGTAATAGCTGGGGTTAAGAGAATAGCGTTACGTGCCGCAGACGTAGCGCGTTAACCCTTTCAGCCCTGGATTTTTTATTTTGGTCAGATACACTTTTTGTGCGCGTTTTTCTAGTAGTTAGGACCACAGAAGACCACAAACAGAAAATTGAGCCACTGGTACAAGTATTTTCGAATTAATTAACGTGGCGTCAAATTAGGTAATTAGGGCCCTGTGATTGTAAAATGAAAAAAGTGACTTATTTTTTTCTGCCAATCAATGGTGCACACAAAATGGAAACCATCGTCTTACTTTTCAGCCTAATACTCACTGAAACAGCTTCGGTACGTCGTCCCGAAAATGGCGCTTACCCGCCTCAGCTTACGCGCCTCGGCTTCACGGAAGACCTCGGTCACGCTTCTTCTTCTTTGTGGCTGCTACCTCCACAAACGTGCCGAAATATTGGTGTCAATTGCAGTGGGGATCATTGAAGAACTATGCCCCCAAGAATGAGCAGTATTGGTTACGTTTCCGAGATACTAGGGGAAAATTTGTGCCGTGGTGTCAATTGACACCGCTAGGGCCGAAAGGGTTAAGCCCAAACTCCATAAGCGTGAAAATGCACGCGACAGCGACGAGCGACGCTATGAGCGACGAAACAGGGCGTTCGCGCGACGTGTCGCGTGCTCGTTTTCGCGCGATCGCTCGGTTCTCCAGATTTGGAAACCGTCGCTCATCGCCCAGAAGTGCTGGGCTCAAGCAGCCAATAGCGAAAAACCGGAAAAGACGAAGACTACATAGGTGCACGTGACCCTGCCCGAGTCACGTATGCGCAACAAGAAATAACGCAATTTTTATTACGCATGCGCATATAAAAAATGCTGCAAGGCAATAATAAACACTTTCCGTTCCATTACACAACAATATATCTTATTTTTAAATTGGAAACCGCTCGCTACGCGGTTTTCTTGGTGCGAGTTGACGGCCTCATGCCAGCTACAGTGGAATTCGCTCGCCGAAGCCGTCGCGTGAATGAGGTTTGCCTGCGCTAGCGACTGATCGCGCGACGCCGATCTACGTCGCGCCGCTCGTCGCTGTCGCGTGCATTTTCGCGCTTATGGAGTTTAGGCTTTATAGTTTAGCGAGGTAGCGTTTACGTGCCCAATCTGGGACGGTTGCGTCACCTAGCGGAGGGTGACGCCACCTGTATGCCTGTACCCCCGCGCGCCGCAACATTACTACTATTCTAGGTAATAATAAAAGTAATCAAACATAAACCACGTACCAAAAGCGAAAATTTTGACGTTGTAGGTATGTATACACCACTATTCTAGTAACGCCTAGGGTCGTTCGAAATGGGAAGCTATTCCAAAAACTATAAGCTGAGTTATTCGAACTCGGCCGTCGAAGCTACCTAGGCAAGTGAAGTCGTTTTGCACAGTCATTAGCTCGGAAAGGAGTGGATCCATCCTGACAAACGCTTCATTCATTTCGAAGCGGGCGTCCGAAACCACCGCCATGTTTTACGTACGTGCACCACGCAAACATGGTAACGCCAAATCTGAGAGATAGCGTACGTGCCATGCACGCTACGGGTCTTTGAGCGTACTGCGCATACAAACTCCAACCCCGCTATTTCGGTAAGCCCACGCGCTTTACCGCTAAGCCCGCTAAACGATCACTGACTAATAAAGAAAAGAGTACAGGAGATGGGACGAGAAGAAAGAAAGTCAACCCGACTCAAGGCCGGTACGTTACCGTACAATCGAGTCTAAAAACCAAAGTTATATTGTGATTTCATAGCCTGTATAACCACCAAAACCTATAAATAAGTGTTACTTATTATAGTCTCGTGATGTCTCGTCGTATTCAGAAAGGAAACGTCAACAGGTGCTTTTGATCGTATGAGGCTATACGCAGCGCTTTCAGGGGACGAACGCTTGCATTCTCCAAACTGGGACAGTTCATGCAGTTCTGCGTACGACTGACTCTATGTTAGGGATAAATGCTGTTGAATGGTTTGTATATAATTTGAAAAAAAATATCATAGTAAAAGCGCTAACTAATTAACAACGGGTCTTCCGATTTTAGAATCGTTTGAGCAATATTTAGCTGTTAGGGACATGAATGGTCAAACACCTGGTTGTATGTATACGTCTCATGAGTCAAAGAAATTCATGGTCCAGCGTTGGGACATTAAATACACACATAAATATGCATACTGGTTAGAACTACAAAAAAATGAACACAAAATCAATTTAAATAAAATAAACGTACGTTACAGTGAATCGACGTGCATAATGAGTGGATCGATCAAACTCACGGTGATTGAAAGTAATTTTCTATCGTCGCTGGGGCGTGGGCAGAAATTTTTTTTTGAGGGAGACGGGGCATCTTTTAGAAATAGTCATATTTTGACCTCTGGCTACGCTGTTGTCTCTCAGTCAATGGGTTTCCAGCGGTGATTTCCCGACGGCGTTAGCCACGAAGAAAACGGTGACCTTTTCTTGTCTTGCTATACGACGCATTTGCTTTTTAGGCCCCGTCATGACCAATCCGCAAACGTTGACGTAGTATTTATTATTGTCTGAAGAACTCCGTGACCTTTCATTGTCTTGCTATACGAAAAAAATCGCTTTTTAGGCCACGTCATGACCAATCTGCAAAAGTTGATGTATTTAAAATTATCTATATGTAAACGCTCGCCAGCTCGTAAAGAAAACACGGACAGCGTGACGCGCCAGCTGGCAAAAGAAACAAAAAATTACCCGTATCTGCAAGTTAGACTGCAAATCTCGTCGAAAGACGATAGTCTTCCGTCTGATGGAGAGAGTGAATACAATAAAACATTTTATTTGATGTTTTGCGTGAAAAAAAATCTGTGAATGCGAATCTGGAGGCGCTGCGTGAGACATAAGTGCCATCTGGCGCTAATCTCAGAAAACGAAAGGATGGCCTCCGTTATAGCGAGTGCGCACAATCTTGGAGACGTATTTTGTATATTTAAAGGTAGGTGCCAGCACCGTATCATCCTAGCAAAGCGTAAAAATTCGCCTTTTCGTGCACAGCGTCGAATTGTTACAGTTTTTAGAATTAATTTTGTATGCTTTATCTAGTATAAAGAAACACATCAGAGAACAATGACGTGTTTATATTGTGCCTCATGTATATGCGCAATATTTGCTTTTTAATAAAAATTGCACAAGTATGAACGCAGAAACTTGAGCAATATTGGTGGACGCAGTGAATGTGATTGTACTTTACCCGTTTTATTTGACCGGCACACAGACAAAAATTTTTGAGTTGATATATATTTCGCGGGACGGCTCAATGCTCTCCCATAGTTGAGTACGAATTACTCAAAATCGTTATACATTTTTCTCTAAAACTAAGGTTGTTGCTCTCCCATAGTAGAGTACAAAGCACTCTAAATTGTTAACCACTTTTTCTAAACACAAAAAAGACTTTGGCGCGCTGCTACGCGCAACTTTGCGTAGCAGCGCGCCCTCTCACCTCAATGCTTTGTGGTACGGTGCCGCACCAAAAAGCAACGCGCTGAAGCGCGACGATGGTACGCGTGGTCCAGCTTAAACGCTCCCACGTTTGCATGCAAAAGAAATACCCAGTGAAGTGGAAGGGAGAGCGAGTGCTGCCGGATCTTAGCTGGTACAGCATTGGACGCGTTATGGAGTAACTGTATTTGTTTCCTACGGGACCTAAAGGTAGCATATACAGTAACTCTAAGACCCGTTTCATGTTCGCTCCCTCTTCCGGTGGCAAAGTTGATTTCTCATCCATTTCAATTTCTTTCCACTTATGCCATACATATAGTTAGTCACTACACTTAAACGCTTCAAATATTGTCGCCTATATTTTCTGCGACTTCACTGCCTTTGTTTCATTATAGTTGTGTTTAAAAACGCAGCACCTGGTACATATTCTTCAATGAGAAGTATATCGAAGGGACTGCTTGTTGATTTTTTCATTCGTATGTTCTCTATAACCGGTTATAGCAACGCCCAATCAGGAATTTAGTAAAATACAAACCGTGGGTCCCAGACTTCTATTTGTTTTATTGAAGCGAGAATTTAAATTGAAACAGGGACTGACAGGAGTAACCAACGAGGCTTTCCCACGTTGACGCAAAAGCTTGTTGGTCTGTAATAATAGTATCTTGATTTTAACGTTTCAAAAACCGCTATATAATTACGAGGAACGCCGTAGTGAAGGGCTGCACAAAATTTGTACCATCACTTCTATGCCTCTACCATTTCGCCTCCATCGAAATGGACACCACCGCAGCCGGGATCGAACACGCGACCTGCTTGTCAACAGCCGAGCACCTTGACCACTATCTCGCCACGTCCGACCTTGTTGGTCTGTCTAACACAGCTACGCGTCACCATATATTGCGCTGGCGCAGGCCAGATGCGTCGATTTCGGCGGCTCACCTTTCCTGTACATCGACGCGTAGCTATACGGCTGCTTCGGGTAAACCGCCGTCCTTGGCGCGTTGGCGAAAACGAAATGTCTATTCACACAAGGGTCCTGTTCGCTTCTCCGGGAACGACCACGGCATCTGAGGAGTTAGGCGTCAGATCCACGGGTATTTCTCGATACAAAGATAGCGCGCCACGACTGGTTAGTCGATGCCTATACACCTGTTGGCCTTTGAGGAGCCGCGTAGAATAGTGTTGCCTTGCCTGTCGGTCACCTCTCTTGAAAAGGTTTTATTGTCTTCCGATAGCATTGCTTGAGACATTGTCCTGTCTGTTTGACGGCTACGAAGCGACCTTTGCTGCTTCACCTTTGTTGATATTTTGTAGTATTATGTCCCTTCTCTGTTATATCAGTAAAATCATTATTCTTCGTATTGAAGCCTACTGCCATTAAGTGCGGAAAGAAATCCATGATAGATCTGAACCCCCTCAGTTTCTTAAAATGCAAATAATTTAAGTACGCAGATATTTGTTTAATGTGATTGATTTATATCAGACGAGAGTAGTCAAGTGGCGACAAGTCGACATGCAGTAAAAAATAAAATTGACCGCGTATCATGGGGATTCACTGCAAATGTTAGTCGAAATACTATAGTCTTCTGTCTGGAAGGGCTGCGTGAGATATGGACGCCATCTGGTATTAATGTCGGGAAATAGGACCTTGTGCAGTACCCAGGACCACCGGTAGGTGGCAGCACCATATCGCCGACTGGGTGCCTTTTCGAGCATAAGTTGAATTTCCGGCGAAGTGTAAGAAACACCCACTTTTTCGAGCATAGCGCTGCATTTTCAGTTCTGCATTTTCAGGCGAGAGACACGCATGTGCAATGGGCTCGTGAAAGCCGCGGGGAGGGATGCCTAGAGAGAGAGAGGGGGAGCAAGCGTAGGCTATCAGACGCTGCGTGTGACGGCGTTGCGAGGCGAGAGAAGAGAGCGTAGTAGAGGAGGGAGGAGAGAAGGGGCTCCTCCGCATGCGCAATAAGGGTGGTCACGCACCACACCGTATCTAACTCGACCATGAGGTGCTTCGCATCTAAAAAAAAATCACCGTGGTCCGTCAGAAAACCAGGCTCGATCAGCTTGCCGGCGGCTTCCACTGTCTGCAGGTCGATCTGTCGCCGTGCCACCACTCCACAATGTCCTCGTACCTCTTTCGCTCGTCCGGGTCAGCCCCGTAGAGGGCTTCGCACAGGGCGCAGTGATCCATGAAACGGTGGCGCCGGGCCTCGTGCGTCTTCTTCCAGTCGAAGTAGGCCTCGTAACGTGCAGGATCGGCGGCCAGATCCTTCAGGTACGCGGCGAGGCGCTGGGGCGACGCGAATTGAAGCGCGTCGATGCACGATCCGGGAGGCGCCAGGGAGGACGAGTACGCTCCCATGACCACGGGAACCATGCCGTGGCTGAGGGCGTTGTACAGCTTCTCCGTGACGTAGTCGGGACACAAGGCGTTCTCTAGTGACAGGTAGAAGTAGTACTTCTCACCCAAGTGAGCGAAACATTCTTCACTCCGTGGGCACTGCAGAGTTGCCGCAACGTCCGTAAACGTCGACCGTCACGTGTTTTCTGAGTTCCGCGACGAAGTCCTCTCGATGGCTCGGGGTCTGACAGTTGCTGACGACCCAGGCAACCAGTCCGGACCGGTTAACTGTGAACGGCTTTTGTCCCTCGTCGGCTTGTGGCGAATCGCCGTGGCGGGAATGAATGGTGAAATATGGATGTGGAACGTCCGAGTCGATGCGGTAGGTGTACGTCCAGTTGAAGATGCTTCTGATTCTAACCAGTTGCTCGGGACGACTGTTTGGGGGCGCCTCCATATTCCAGTAGACCCATCGCTGGTGCCCGACGCGATACCTGCAGCAATAATAAAAAAAAAGTCGTGTGAGTTGTATTCACCATGATTACGGGTTCCTTGGGGGGGGGGGGGGGGGAGTGTGTTAAAGACAACATTTGATACCTTGAACTCTACGGGGGCGTTACTTGTAGAACTCCCAAAATGGAATTGTATTAAATTGAAGGACGACACATCAGTGATAATCTGAATCCCTAACTGAAAGCTAGGTAGGATTCATTCAAAAATAATCTTGAAAAAAGGCATGTAACTTTTATAAATATTACTAACACAATTATCTTACTAATCTGATAAGTTATAACAAATGGAAAACTGATTACAACATGATGTATTTACATAGTTTGGCGAATGATCACAGGCATGGGCAGAAAAATCGAATGTTCTGGCTAGTGCGATTAGAACATCCGAATGAGCGGTTTATTTGATCAATAACACGAGAGTTGTCTTTCGGGGAAGTTCGCAGCCATAATAATCGTTACCTGGGCGAGATGCCCTTGAAAGCATGATACCACTTCCGGCCGATTTGACTATAGACCAACCGCTGGCTAGCGTAGGATAATATGGCCAGAACATCGAATGAATGGTTTTTTTTATCGCTCACTTGAAAGTCGCCCCTCGGGAAAGTTCACCGCGATGATGATGATGGTGTACCTGGGAAGGTCTCTAGCGTCGGTGTCCCTGTCGTGAAAAACTACGGCGTCCGCCGTTCTCACGAGAGATCTGTTCCTGGTTAGGAAACACGGTACGCTGCAGCTGTTGTAAGAAACGAGCCCGCTACTGACGTCGGACAACGGCTCAAACCAAGACCCGAACGTCGGCGTCCAGAACAGTATGGTGACGGGTTCGCCTGCGGTGACGTTCGTGAAGGCGCTCTCCGGGAACCACGCTGGAAGACGGACGGCTATCGGTGGAAACCCGTTGTTCAGGAAGAGGAAGACTGCGAGCGAGACACAGATAAGGAAGACAGCGACGTACTGACAGCGTAAAGATGAGCCAGATACCATGGAGTCCTGAAAGGAAACAAAAGAAAGGAGTGGAAAAACACTTGCGGGGGAATTTCTCACGGTCGAACCGTCAATGCGCGAGTGTTAATTTACAAAGTGGTGCAGAGGCGTAGCAGTACAGGTACTGGCGTACATGTGCAGGAACTGGAGCTGGTAACAGAATCGAGTACTGGTATTGTGAGACAAAGTGCACTATGCTCTGTACAGACTATGTAAATATTTTCTCAATTAACTAACCATCATCCTTCCTCAGGGTCATCCAGCAGGCTCAATAAGTGGCAAACAGGTTTGGCCTGATGGTCACGACGTGAAAGTCATGCGCTGCGCGCTCCCGCACACAGTCTTGAGGAGTTTAAAGATATGTAACCGACCGGACCCTACCGACTGACCAGCTGAAAACTAACCATCCACTGTATATTTAGTCCTCTGTGTAGATCTATACAAATGCTTCTGTGCCATACTTTATATCGCGAGCGATAGATATCACGTCAGCATGCAACGCTCATTGAGATGTGCAATAAGCAGTTATCAATTAATAAGATCGTTACCATTCAATGCCCTGCGGGTTTGATAGCGGCAGTTGTGAGTGAGGCTCGATGGGGTCGATACACACAAAAAAAAATCAAGAAAACATGCTTGTGCGTTAAAGTGACACTAAAGAGAAACAATGACTTGATTTAGAACGACGAACTGTACTCCGAGAACTTTAATGTCATGTATCAGTATCGTTAATTTTCGTATCGTATCAGTATCGTTAATGTCATGTATCAGTATCGTAAGTTCATTAATAACGGAGAAAATCAATAAGGAAGTTTCACCTTTGAAGATCGCGCCGAAACTCTCCGCGCTTTACGTCAGAATTTTCAAAATGCATTTTTCGCATTTTCGTTACAATGGCTGCATGAAATTTTCTGAAACTTTGTATCCTTAGTCTATGCCACGGATGACAATATACTTGATTTTCATCAATTAGAAGCTGTACGTAGGACCCAGTAGCCGCCTTCAAAATCTATGACAACCTAATGTTTGGTGAGGGAATATCGAGGTGACGTGTCCGCCCTCATTTTCTCTCAATCGTTTTCTCGCTCACAGCAAGCGTCATCTTGCGGTGATAGTGTCGTTTTCCGAATGGTGAAGCTGTACTTTACTTACAGGTGAAAAATTGTTTCGCTCTTTAGTGTCTTTTTTAAGATTATATGCACGTCAACAGAACTTCTGACTGCAGAAATAGTTCCCGAGTCACACGCCACGACGTCAATCGCAATTGTATCGGGGTTTCTGCACACATAAAGCCGTAGAATGTAATTTAATTTGTTACGGCCTCAATGGTTTTTCATACTTTGGTGACTGTTGCCTTGCGGCAACAATCACTAAACTATGAAATACTATTGAAAGTTGCACCTTAGCAGACAATCTTACAACAGCTCGGCTTCACTTTTAAATCAAACCAAGTCAAAATAACTTTATTAAGACGTTTATAGAAAAAGATGTGTACATAATATTTTGACCAACAGCCTTCGGGGCGTCCCACCGCGGTGGTCTAGTGGCCAAGGTACTCGACCGCTGACCCGCAGGTCGCGGGATACAGTCCCGGCTGCGGCGGCTGCATTTTCGATGGGGGAGAAAATGCTTTGGGCCCGTGTACTCAGATTTGGGTGCACGTTAAAGAACCCTGAGTGGTCGAAATTTCCGGAGCCCTCTACTATGGCGTCTCTCATAATCACACGGTGGTTTTGGGACGTTAAACTCCACGGGTCAATATCAACGTATACGTGGCTATAGAAGCTGGTCCATTAGACAAAATATATAAAAGTTAGCAGCGCACATGATTGGTAACGAAAAGTATTGATTTTATACGTTTGAAACTTTCGTGGTTCCTACGTGCACCCTAAATTGAATGACTAAGAGGTCAATTACAAAATTCTTATTCACCCTTTTTTTGTCCAAAACAAAAGGCACTACGCTGCAGCTTTGCGAAATGGAGGGGCCATGCGTCATTGTATAGAAACGGCACATTTTACGTTTTTAGTCGAACCACCACAGCTGGAAATGTGCGCCTCGATACGGAGCTGTCAGTTCAGGGAGGCATGGGCGCGGTAGTGAAAACTGGAAGAGTTATGCGGACGACACGATTTAAGCGCATTTCCGATCCGGGTAAAGTTGTACAGCGCAATCGCCCATGCGTTTTACAGCACAGAATTGCACCAAATAACTGCCCCCCCCCCCCCCCCCCCGCGGTGGTCTAGCGGCTGAGGTACTCGGCTGCTGACCCGCAGGGCGCGGGTTCGAATCCCGGCTGCGGCGGCTGCATTTCCGATGGAGGCGGAAATGTTGTAGGCCCGTGTACTCAGATTTGGGTGCACGTTAAAGAACCCCAGGTGGTCTAAATTTCCGGAGCCCTCCACTACGGCGTCTCTCATAATCATATAGTGGTTTTGGGACGTTAAACCCCACATATCAATATCAATCAATCAATTATTGCACCAAATAATTGCAAAACATGTGAAACAGAAACATGTGAAACATCACATGTTTTACAAGGGAAACATGCGATGTCAGTCACAGCTTGATTGGGTATGCTCTAGCGTACACAATTGAGCATATGCAAACGTCTGCCTTATGCAGGATATGCAAACGCTCACGTTCTCTCTCTCCTAGCAAATTTGAAAATTTTGCGTGTGTATTTATGTGTAACGCACGAACTGACTTACATAAAGTATGATTGAACCCTCCCCGTCATCTCTACCAGAAAAAAAAAAGAAAAAATACCTTGGCCAATCTACCGCGGCATCCACTTACCACTATCAAGATGAGCGACTCGTCCAAGAACACACAGACAGGCTCAATGGAAATGCATTCGTATAAAGGAAACTCAGCCGAATCCCCCTGTTGTGAGGCGACGAAAGGTTCCACGTCGAACTAGCTGCTGGCCAGCCGGCTATCTGTGCGCGCTTCCAATAGTTCGCAGCCACGCCGTATCAGTCGTGACTTACGAAGAGCTCGCTTATCGGCAGGTGTATACAATCGGCTGAAACTCGGGAGTGCCTCACGAGTGAGCTGCAGGGGTACGTGCGAAACGTATACGTACGTGCGGTTGCCATAGCGTTCGACTCACCGAACAGCCGTATACGATAACGATGCACTTTTTTTTTCCTCCTTAGTTGTTTCCCACGCAGCGATCAAGATAATGCCACGCCAGCCCTTAGAAGTGTTATGTTATCGCGGCTGCAATATCCTCTTAGCGGCGCGTACGAGTGACGTTTGTTTACAGCTATCGGCGTATATCCCTTCGGAGTAATCGTCGATGCAAATTAATTTTTCCTCTCTCTTCAGACTACAGACAATCCTGCCGTAAGGTGTACAGCACATAATGACAACACTTATAGTCGTCACGTGGAAGAAGGCAACAATCTACAAGGTAAAACTCGTTTAGTCGAACTCGTGGCCACGAAACAGGAACTACAATTGCACGTCATACACTGACACCGGTGCGCAGAGCGCCGGTCGTCGATAAACTCACAAGCGGTGAAGCGCGCCGAGTTTACCGCCGAGTTTTCCAGCGTTATCGCTAGCGGCCGCGTAAGCTTCAGAAGAAACTGTAATGTTCGCGTTGTGCGCGCGTAATCGCATCGGAAGATTCAAAGGTTATCTCAGTCGATGGTTCTTGGTGATACGGCGCGGTTTGCGCAAGGCGCGCGTGTAATGGGCCGGTGGCATGCACTTGAGGAAGGAGTGTGGCAGTAGCAATAACTGTTGAAACCTGATTGATTGATTTGTGGGGTTTAACGTCCCAAAACCACCATATGATTATGAGAGACGCCGTAGTGGAGGGCTCCGGAAATTTTGACCACCTGGGGTTCTTTAACGTGCACCCAAATCTGAGCACACGGGCCTCGACATTTCCGCCTCCATCGGAAATGCAGCCGCCGCAGCCGGGATAACTGTTGAAACCTGACGACCAGTTCGAATGATTGATCTGGCTTCAATTCAACACGCGGCTTAAGAATGTAACAAGGTTTGCGGAGCAACATTCTTGTGGCACAACCTCACATACCTTTATGACAGTGGAATAGCCAGGAAGGAAGGGAGAGTTCACGCCCCCCCCCCCCCAAATTTTCGATTTTGCTTGCATATATATATATATATATATATATATATATATATATATATATATATATATATATAAACGCGCACATGAAAACGCACGTACCAACATACGCAAACTATGGCTGACCCTCTCTCCCCCCGAAAAAAAATTCTCGCTGTGCCTCTCAAGCTGCATGTGAAATGATTGAAAGCTGGGGGCTAGGTGGAATAGGTAGGCAGAAAATTTGGAGTTCACTCAGAGTCACTCAAGATATGTAATTTTTTTTTTCTCGGAGGGATCATGCTGACTACGACACACGAATACTTTTTCTCAACCAAACCCACTCGTGCTCGCACTTTAACATATTATTCAGCCGCACTCACTCGGACTCTGACTCACGGCTTTACCTGATTATGAGTGAGCTTGAGTAAGTCGACTTATTAAAGTCCGTTAGCGTGAATGTAACTCTTTCGATCATGATGTCAACACTGTTTAACGCCATTATCTCTAATCAAAGTGGACGGTTAGGTCAGTTGGTGATACATGATGTCAGTATACTACGCGGTAGAAAACACGGACGGGATAAAAACATGGACGAGCGCAGACTGTCAACTGAAGGTTTGTTCATTCCGCAATGAATTTATATATGACAACCCCAAAATAAGAAGAAACAAATGAAAGTAGTATTTGAACAAACGTCAAACTTCATACACCCGAAGCACGAGACATAATATCGAATTCATTACACACAAGCCCCAATCGTCAGATAATGAAGCTCTTTATCTAGGAAGCAACCGATGGTTTCCTTACGCAGTTGTCATAGCTCGGGAACCTGACAACTGCGTGAGCAAATCATCGAACGTCATCATCATCATCATCATCATCATCATCATCATAAGCCTGACTACGTCCACTGCAGGACAAAGGCCTCTCCCATGTTTCGCCAGTTTACCCGGTCCTGTGCTTGCTGCTGCCAATTTATACCCGCAAACTTCTTAATCTCATCTGCCCACCTAACCTTCTGTCTCCCTTTAACCCGCTTGCCTTCTCTGGGAATCCAGTTAGTTACCCTTAATGACCAGCGGTTATCCTGTCTACGCGCTATATGCCCGGCCCATGTCCATTTGCTCTTGTTTTTTTCAGCGATGATATCCTTAACCCCCGTTTGTGCCTATATCGAACGTGCTTAACTTTAAAGAATATTTTTTTTTATGTGGGACAGAGACAGTCATGTGCGGGCCATGAGCTGCAACCGAGAGCCTCACGGGCTGCGTACGGCCCGAGGGCCACGTATTTGAAAGCATCGCTATGCCGGCTTCATGTCCGGAAAGGAACCACGTGATCATATGTAATATAGCTCGGTGTAAGAGGAAAAAATAACAACTATGCGTGACACAATGCGAATTGCGTTGCTAGTGGTTCGTTGGCTGATTCCAACTTACTACGAGTTTAAAATAATGCGCTTTTTGTGTCTAAGACTCTAGTGCTAGCGAGACTGCCAATTCGTCGTGCCCGAGCTTCTGCTCTACTGTTACAGAGAAACCGAACATGGCGCGTTTCGACTATGTATGTGCCAGCATCAGGGTAAATGCGTATTTCCATCGTTTTGTAAATGCGTATTTCAGGTAAATGTAAATGCGTATTATCAGGTTTGTAAATGCGTATTTCCCAGCCGGGGTGCAAGACACACGAAATCTAGACGATATGTTTTCTGCCTGCAGAAAGGCTATATTAATCACTGGAGACTTCAATTCACATCATGTGGCCTGGGGTTTTAAAACAGATTTAAGCGGAAAACGCTTGTGGTAATGGGCTATTGAGAAGAATTTATCTTGTTTAAATTCGCAATCTGCTACTTTTGTCCGAGGTCTCTCTAAATCTGTAATGGACTTGACATTTTCAAGCTCATCTCTAAATATATGTTCGTGGCAAACTTTAGACTGTGCTACTAACAGTTACCACTTGCCTATTAGTTTTGTACTGAACTTTCCAAGAATACATGTCGCCGAAAAAGGCCCGCTCATTCCTCAACTATAGAAAATTAGAAAAAGACTTGAGGGCTACTTTTGATCACCGCAAGGACATACAATGTGACATTAGGGCTATGAGTCTGTGTGCAGTGTTAAAAGGATCAGTAAAAGACGCAAAGTTTAAATTAGACTCGGCCACAAGAGGTTCTTTTAGTCCATGGTGGACTGAAGAGTGCATGAGGAGCTATAGAAAACGAAAAGCTGCATGGAAACAACTACTGGTCAACCAATGTCCAAAAAATTGGTGTGATTATAAATTCGCAGCAGCACACTTCAAACGCACAGTAAGTACAGCAAAAGATGGCTATAATATGAAACGACATGAGCATCTTTCTAGGGCTAAAAACAAAAAAAAGCGTTCTTCAGATTTTTAAGATCTCAAAAGATGTTACCACCCACTGAAAACATTGACTCTTCTGTTCCTTCCCCCCGTGAGCTCTCTGATTTAGTAGAAAATATTGCGAAAGGGCTCCAAGATAGATTTATGTCAACTATACCACTGCACATTGTGAACCCAATGGCAGGCGAGGATTTCGAGGAGGTTACTTTAGATGAGCTGGGTGAGATAATAAGGCACTTATCTCCTTCGGCACCTGGACCAGACGGGGTAACAAATGCAATGATAAAAGTAATATTCGAGATTTGTCCAACTGAAGTACTTAATCTGGTGAATTTTTCTTTGACAAAAGCTTGAATACCTGCGGAATGGAAGCTGTCTAAAGTGATTCCACTTCTTAAAAAGCAGAAAAAAGGATTCGCCTTGGACAATGTAAGGCCGATATCACTCACGTCAAATCTGGTTAAGCTAACTGAAAGAGTTTTGGATGCCCGGGTAATAAAATATATTAATAATAACGCAATATTAAACCCCAGTCAAATTGGTTTTAGATCTGTTGCTCAATATGGTGTGCGCATGTTGATTTAGAGAGCCGAATACAACTGGCTTGGCGTCGGCGCCAATACTGTGCTTTAGTTACTCTAGATTTGGCTAAAGCGTACGATAGGGTTGAGCATTCAATTTTATTAAAAGAGATGGAGTATCACCACTTTCCCAACTACATCACTGCGTGGGTGTCGGAGTTTTTAAGAGGGAGAGAATATTACTGCTTTAAAGATGGGTACTCATCGAATAGATATAAGCAGACACGTGGCGTACCACAGGGGGCTGTCCTGTCGCCAGTTTTATTTAACATTTTCTTAAGCTCCATTCCACCAACTAAGGATATTCAGTTATATGTGTACGCGGACGATATTGCTTTCCTTGCAAGTAATACCGACCTTCAATCATTATACCAGAGTCTACAAAATTATCTCAATATGATAGAAAGATGGCTTAAAAATATTCATATGACCCTGAACGTAAAGAAAAGTGTGCTTCTTGTATTCTCTTTTCTGCAGCCTATCAACATCTCGTTAATGTACAATAATGAGCTCATTCCGCAGGCAAATTCCCTTAAATATTTGGGCATCATATATAATGACACATTAAATTGGAGAAGTCACATTGATGATGTGTACTCCAAGGCAACACGGGCCATGGGGTGGCTACGGAAGCTTGCAAACCGTAAAGCGGGTTTAAGAAGAGATGTGCTAATAATGATATATAAACTTTATGTGCGGCCCATCATGGAATTCAGATGTGTATTATTTTCTGGCAGCGCAGCTTATAAAATGAGACCCCTAATACTGTTGGAAAGAGAAGCGTTACGTTTGTGTCTGGGTCTACCAAAGTTTGTTGCAAATAACGTGTTGTATATGGAAGCTCGCCTACCTTCTCTGCTAAATAGGTTTAAAATTCTTACTATGCAAGCATTCTTAAAAATATACAGTTCACAACAAAGACTC